AGTCTAAATGTAAGTCAGTTTTCTTAAAATCACTGGAAAAAGACAAAAAGCATTAGAAGTGGCCGCTTAAAGATCAACCCCACAATTACGCGATTATGTGAAAAAAAACTGTTAAATGGCCACCTTTACTTAAGAATGGATCATGAAAAAGGTAGACTTTCCCAATTTTTTTTTCGGAAACTAATACACTAACCACTATAGCAACTTCCTTATACGAAACTGTATTTAGTCACCTTCTAATTTTCAAAGGTTCAAAATGTTATTAAGGCCTGATACTTGACTGAAATAATACTTCCGCTCACGAAAAGTCTTCTTGTTGTCAAAATTCAGGGCTGCAATTGGATTCGAGGCAAGAAAAAATTTATTTTCTTTAAAAAGATCGTCCCCGGGTGGGCTTGAACCACCAACCTTTCGGTTAACAGCCGAACGCGCTGACCGATTGCGCCACGGAGACAAGTGTGGACAAAAAGAAAATTAACGATTATCGCATTTTAACGAGTCTGCATTTCTGATAACTTAGGACTTCTTTGTCGCTCCCTGTGCTTTCTCGATGTTTTGAATTGCTTGAGCCTTCACCTGGTTGCGAATGCTCATCATTAAACGGACTTTCTCATCAAAGTCAGAGGGTTCATCCTCCGACTTGTCAGAAGTGGGCGAGTCCGCGCTGCTGGGCTTTGGCCTGAAACGAAATGAAAACTTTATTTACTTGCGACAGTCACGCCATCTTTTAATTGACGTTCTTCCAGAGAGCTGTACTACAGTAAAAAATCCGCGTGTAAGAACCTAATGATTTAATAACCTCTTGGCAGAAATTTACCATTTTAATACCCCCAAATTATGATAAAACCACTTTAACTAAGGAGTTTGACAAATAAGGTGATTGCAAATACTTACTGTTTATTACAGGAAAAAACTGTCATTTCTGTCATTAAACAGTTGTGAGTTATTACTGTATATTAAATGATAGCAATCGATAACTATGTTTCTCTCATAAAAAATTAAGAACCTAATGAAGAACCTATTTAGCCTAAATTGCCAATAAATACTCCAAAATATAAGAACCTAACTTTACCTGATTTCCATCTCGATGGGTAACACGGCTGCACGACCAAACATCAACTCGAACGGTGTGAATTTGGTGGAGTCATTCTTACTTGTTCGATAGGCGAACAGAATGGACTTGAGGTGTACATCCCAGTTTTGCGGCAGTAACTTTTTAGAGTTTCAGAATGATGTTAGATGAAGTCCCATAAGTGTCACCGCTTATTACAAGCGCGTCTATCCGTCCGGCGCTCGACGTCTGGAAATGTCCCGTATCAGTATTCCGTTTGGAGTCAATTTAAAAAAAAGGCAAACACATTTGTCTTTAGTGCGATTTTAAAATGTGTCCTAGTAATGAAAATGTATGTATGCGGTTAAGTTTTCCATTGTAATGAAACACGACAATAACAAAGTAATATCGTTTGACAAACGATGTAGTGACATTCAATTTGGATAGCAACGTCTCGAATGCATACTGTCATTCGAGGTGATCTTAAGAGTGGCCTCCTCTTTCTCCTTAAACCAATTTGGTTTTTTAGCAAAATTTGTGATAGCTATGGTCACTTTACTCACTAATAATATAGCTAAAGGTCACTGGTTACTATGCGAGCTTGAAGGAGTGTGTTATGTCGTGACTGTCGCCATCCCAGCGCAGAGTCATCCGGTGCCGACAAAGACGAGGTTGAGACATAATTCCGACATCCGACATCTGAAATCCGGCATCAAAATGACAGAATTTAATATAAAAGAGCGCTTCTTTAGTCTTGATTTCACAAATTGCAGTCAGTGGTTTCTCAAACGCAATTGATGACAGAGTCTTTGAATCTGCCTGTAATTGAGAGTTGAAACAGACTAAAATGCGAACGATAAACAGGAATTTTACAGCCACGTTTTAACGACTGATCACGAATTCCCAAAAGGCTTTGAACAGTGGCATTTGCTCCTTCGTGTCTCAGACTGTTTCAAAGTCAGTGGAGCTGAATGGGTTAATGTTTAACCTTTTTCATGCGCAGAACCAAGTAACTCTCCTTTAATGTCACTTAACAGTTTTTATTAACTTCGAAAAGCTCTGCGTTGATTACTACTCACGCCAATAACGTTGAAAAAAATGCTGGTGTCATAATTTTCTTTCAATTGAATATGCTTTAACTAAACAAAAGAAATAACGCCTCTCCATAATGTTAAAAATCAGAGATTTCCAAACACACAGGAGATACCCCTTATTCAGACTAACGTCAGAAAAAAGGAAAAAAGGAGAAAAGCTAAGTAAACATAAGAAGACGACATAAGCAGTTAGATTTATTTTTAAAATTTTTGGAATCGCTTGAAATCTCTAAGCAACATCATTGTTCAGCTGCCGGGCACCGCCTATATAGTAGGTGTATATTAAGTTAGGAAAATGAATCCTTGAGTGCACTAGCTACCTTCAAAGTTGCTCCCACCTAAGAAATTACGAGATGAGAGAAACGAAAATAGGTTTAGATTACATTTAACAAATTGACATCTGATGGTGTCTCCTGGCGCAAACTAATGGGGTATCCAAGTTACGCACGCAATAGCGCCTACGCATTACTTTCTCCCTCGCCCTTCCATTTCATAATGGCTAAGATCGTGCCTGCAGTGCAGTTGGCCGCGCATGCTAAAAGTGGCACCTTACACGGTCAGTCATACGGTCTCAAGTCCAAATTTTTTCGGCTAGATGGGTTAATACTATTTCCTATGATAATGGCAATAACGTCAAAATGTGTTAAGAACGAAAAAGTAGCACACGAGGTGCAGTCGAATGAGTCACTGATGTTCTTACCGCATTTTTCAACAGCAAAATGGTATCTATTTGTTTTGTACGAAAACTGTCAGTGGTGATGCTATCTATGTGTTTGTCTTCTAATAAACCATAAGCCAGACTCAATCAAAATGCGTGTTTAACTCAGCTCGTTATATAAAGATCAACTGATACTAGCAACTCCATTTACTATTACTCCGGGGCAAAATAAAACAGGTGATGTCACAGGTGTTGAGCCACCCGCCTATTTATATTTTATTTTATTTGAAGCCTGATAAATTCAGTTGAGGCCTGTTGGTCTAGTGGCATGATTCTCGCTTAGGGTGCGAGAGGTCCCGGGTTCGACTCCCGGACAGGCCCGATACTGTTAAATTTTGGAAACTCTCAATAATAATTATTGATTTTTTCCCCTCTATTTCGTTTCCCGTTTCTAAGTCCAGTTCCAAGGTTCCAAGATTCCCAGATGCCCAGATATGCTTTTACAGACGAGAGATAGTGCATTGATTCTGATCTGAAAATTCGGCGCATTTGATGGTAAACCATTCCTATTTTACCTGTTATATAATTTCATGGAAGAGGTTAAAGACTTCTTTGTAACAAGGGTTTTATTTGTGATCTGTGCTTCCAAATTTACCTCTCTAGGTAACGATTAATAACCCAGAGGTTATGAGGGTAAAAGGAATGTCAGCCATCGAACTGGCCGCTTCCGGCGGAAGCAAGCTATAGAAGCTGGAATACATCACAGCTGTCCTATTAAAACTACAAAGCTATCAAGAGAGTATTATCCTGCACATAAACAACGCCTAACAAGTTAAGTACAACGACAACGTGAAGCATGAACACGACCTTGAAGCAGACACCCATGCTTTGAACCATTTCTCAATTTTTCATAGTCCAGCGGATTGCATAATTATTGAGTTTTTTCTCTGTAGAAATCTTAAACAGAACTAGAAAACCAGTCTGACTGAACCGGAGAAAAATTTTCTCAAAAAAATGTGTTTTCTAAATTTTTTTATATCTAAGTTGATAGCTTTCAGTTGTTTAACCTACTCCCGAGTAGCATGACAATTTTCGGGCGTTAAGTCTGGCACATTATGCCGTTCTCCTCTACCCACGAAAACAACGTCTCGCAGAAGAATAAGGGGCATGATGGCGAGACATTCTTGATTCAAAGACTGCTGGGTTTTACGCAAAACAGAACCATTGAAGTTTGTGGACCACTCCGTAATTGTATGGCCAGGTTACTAAATTGGTTTCAAAATGGCGACCTTCATAGCCAAGTTCAAGATTGGTGCTTTAAAAAACAATTTTCGGGTCCTTCCCTTTGGAATCTCAAAATTCACTGAAAAGTTAGTTTTTATGTATTCTTCTTTGATAACAGAGTTGAAAAAAGAAATTGCGAGATATTTTTCAGAACAAAATTCTCGTTTGCATTCAAAAGTGTAAACAACATCTTTGAAAAGAAAGGAAACAGATTCATTCGACTTTGAACGATCCCGGGTTTGTTTTACTCAGCCCAATTAGTAAAACATTTTTCTTTCTTTTGTATAACGGATAAGGATTGCGGTTATTTTTTATCGTGAGGACTCGGATTTATTCTATTATGTTCGTCCTTCAGTGAGTGGATGTTTCCATATACATGTCAATTGCTGATAGGCTTTGGAAAGTTTTTCCCTTCACCCGTTTTAAAAAAGCGTCTGTACTCGAGTCTAGTGACCCATCCAGCCGCAGCCCACAGCTCATCCCGGTCTCCCTACCATGAAACGACCAGGAGTATGACTACTCCCCCCCTGGATGATGTGCTAGTCCATCGCAAGGTTACATGAAGCAACGTCACCTTAGACAACATCTTCGGTTACACTAGGGGTGGGCATTTCCTTCTATTCATGATTAAAAAAAAGTAAAAAAATAAACGTTTTTTTCTCATGGTGAGGCAATTGCCTGTATTGGTTTCATTATTCGGAACCAACTCCCACTAATGGGTGCTAGTGGTTGTTAGGGTTTGCTTTGACTGCACTGGTTGACTGGCGAGAAAACCTGGTAACCACAAATTCTCGCTACGTTTGCTGGGTAGAATTTCAAAATGGCGACCACGAACAGGCCATAACTTAACAAAAGTTGCACAACGAAGATTGTCGGAAAAAGATCATAGTAAGAGTGAAATCGCTTTTGAATCATGGCAGCAGCACGGGCAGCTCTTAGTTTTGTGGAAAAAGCAATCAAGAGCCACAACGTAGTAGTTTTCTCTAAGACAACTTGTCCTTTTTGCATAATGGCAAAGCAAACTTTATCGGAAGCCGGCATTCAGAAGATGCAAGTTTACGAAATTGAAACAAGGGAAGACGGTGCAGATATCCAGGTAGAAGTGTAAAATTAATAACAGCCTAAGTTTCGATGCGGAAAGATTTCCTTACAACCAAATACTATTATAAAACGAAACCTGACGGCTCTAAACGCCAGCTGTATCATGATAGTTTTTTTTCGCCGGTTTTTTTTTTTTATTATTATGTAAACCTCTAACTCCTAAGATCTCATTCGTAATTCTCGTGGTAAAATTTCCGCACAGCCCCATACTACATTATGCATTCAGTTCTTGGATTGAGAAAACAACGACAAAAACAATACATTGTCCTTGGGAAAACGGAGCGGAGTTTTACTCATTCTCCTTACTGTCTGCCATACAGATCTTTTTATGTTAGTTTGGAGAATTTGGTATTGGATCAAGTTATATTAATCCCCTAATAAATATTTTTCTTTATTCTCATCGCTTGTCCGCTTGACAGTGTATTCATATTGTAAGGAAAAATTCTGTCTTGGTCACTCACGGGAGTTAAAGGGTTCATTAAGAACTGTGTTCTTAGTGAAGTATAGGGTTCAATAGAAGTCTTTCTGATGATGCCAGGCCTACATTCGTGAGCCATTTTTCCAGTAATCATTGAGAACTGTGTTCCTAGTAAAGTATTGGGTTCAACAGAAATCTTTCTGATGATACATATTCATGAGCCATTTTCCATTATTTTTTTTCATTATTGATTTTTTTTTTTACTACAATTTTTGTAGACTGCAGATACCAGGTCTCTTTCCCCCCAACCATGTACACGTCACATGCTTCTTCATCAATTTTAATTCCCCTTGATTTAATGCCATAAATATTAGTGCAGTGTACACTCCACCTTATGGTGACCATGGCTCAGTTTGAGTGTTATGAATGTAAACAACCACTACTTGCCATCCTTTATCCCCCCCCCTCCCCCTTCTGTGTAACCAAACTAATTTTTGAGAACTCAAAAGCCTTTTTTTGTCTCCTGTCTCAAAACATTATTTATACAGCAAATCAGCATAAGGGCTTGATTATTTGAGATCTTGCTAAACTTGGTTTTTGTTTTCAAACCATGACTGTTAGCTTTTAAAATAGTTTTTTTTTCTCAGTTATCTAAAATGTAGATTCTGTATTTGTCTGCATGCTAGTATGAACTCCCCTTTACAGAAAAAACAAGTACTCTCCATGTTGGAAATGATCTTCCAGATGATTTTCTAATTTATCGGGAACTGTTCTTTTTTTAGGAAGCTTTGAAAAGTTTAACAGGAAGAAGCACAGTGCCAAATGTTTTTATTAAGGGCACAAGTATTGGTGGCGGGTCAGAGACTGCAGAATTATACCAGTCAGGACAACTCACAGAAATGTTACAAGAACAAGGAATAATTAAGTGAATATATCTATTAAATTTCAAATGACTACATGAACCTGCTCAAAGAAAGAAGGGTAGATAAGAGTATGAATTATCTTCATTGATGTAATTTCTGTCAGCATAGTGACAAGCAAAAGAATGACAACAATGGATCAATATGGACAAGAAGGGAATAACATACCAAACCATATTTGACATGTGGAGAAAGGATCAAATTTTTTTTTCCTATTCAAAGAATTGGACGGTGGTCCCTAAAGCATTCACTGTCCTTTTTCCAGGTTTTTAATAAATTGAAATTGTATTATTTCTCTTTTCTTATGTACTGCCCAGATTAACAATGTCATTTGCATCATGTCTGTTAAGTCAAATAAGAAATCAAATATGAAATCAGGTTTCAGCTCCTTGATGTAGAAGTGACCAGCATCAGCACAGTGGCAAAATGAGTGCCCATGCTTGTAGCTAGTGAAAAATTTACGCGAGAAATGGAATGGGTTGACAATGTAACACTATAGTAACACTATCAAGGCAAAATGGTGGCATTTTTAACATTTCCATTGCTTGTTTTCATTTTGCAAGGATAGGCCTAAACCAAAATGAACCTTCTTAGTTAAAAATCTCTCTCAACAGAAACGTATTGTTGCAAGAGGTGTGAATTTAGTGACTGAGGTCGAGCAGCCGTAACATGTCTGTGAAGTTTGTAGCACACGCTTTTGCTTTATCACTTCTTGTCATTGCCTCCTCAGTAGTCAAAGCCCCCAGAGAAAAAGATTTTTTATCTGGTAGAAAAACCACCACAACTTAATTTTGAAGAAGAATCAAAGCTCATGGAAAACGTAAATGGCTTCAAGTAGAGGTGCATACATACTCATTTTGCTGCCGTCACTGACATCAACAAAACATATAAATGCTCATCTTCACAGACTTTATTTCCATAATTTGCTCTAAATTTTACTTTAAGTTAGTAATCCAATATGCATGCAACCAGCATAACACAAAACATACATCTACATGTTTTGTTAATTTTAAAACTCAACTTTTTAGTCTTAATTACTTACATTAATAACATTAAACCAGCGTTTCCTAAGTCAAAAAAAATCTACAGCTATAATCAACATTAATTTACAACCAAGATACAAAACAAAACTCATACAAAAAATAAATCACATTCCTAATTATATATTCAAATGAAATCCAGTATTAATTTCATTCAGGTAGAGTAATAAGTAATTTGTTCCTGTTTCATTACATTGTAATGATTTAACTTTACTTTTGAATGATAATATATTATGTTACTCTGTAATTTATTACCCATAAATCTTAAAAAAAATTGAAATAAGTATGAATTAATAACATTTACCTAACATATATTATTTTCCTTTAAAGAAAGGTTCAACCAAAATTGGTAAATCTGGTATTGTTGTACTTAGCTTTTTCATTCTTGAAATATTCGTAATATATCATAACCACTCTCAAGTTTAGGAAGTAAAGTAAGAAATATAAAGGAAAAAGTCAACACTATAATTTCCAAGAAATAGTCATTGAATATAATTGCACTGTAGAATCTAATTTTTTGAATTTTTCCAACTGTTCAAAGGGTCAATTTGAACAATGCCAGGTCTGATATTTACTCAAAAGCACCTTAAGGCAACTGCAAAAAGTGAGTTTAAAAACAAACACAAGGAAAAACTTTTCTGAGGCCAGCTCTCGTCATTAACTCATAAAAATAACAGTAACTACTCATGTTCATCAAAATGCTACCAAAGCTGTAGTACTAAGGAAAACATTTATAACAATTTTCAGCAAACACTACCTGATCCAAGCAATTACTCAACTACAACAGTAGCATAATAAGTTTAAAGGCCAGCCTAAAACTTTGCATCATAATTTCAACTCTTATTTTCAAATTTTCAAGCATTGTATTTGCTGCTTTCAAACTGCAAAACTTCATATTACATTGTCTCTAAATTCCTCATGCATGGCATTTACTGCATTCAAATTGCAAACATTCCTAACAAACTTTGTCAAAAACCTACAAAAGCAAGCCACACTTCCTGACCCTCGAATTAAAAGCCTGAAGAGTTCTTTCTCTTCACTGGTCATTTGCCTTTCAAACTATTACTACTAATTACATACCTATCTAACTTCACTTGTTCAAAACTAATGCGTTTCAATCTTGAAGTTTTTCATTTTTTTTTTTACAACCAACCTCTATAATTTTTAACGTTCAGTTGTGATGTGATAATATTTTAATGAATTCAGCTGTCAACCAAATTGTTAGAAATCCTCTCTCATTTGATAATCACCTAAGCACACAAAACGTTTTCCTTCCTTTTCTTCCCTCTCTTCAACTTTTACTCAATAATTTAACCCAGTAAATAATTAGAATTAATTCAAACTTCATAATTTGTCTCCCAACGTCACCTAGTCCCAAACAATCATTTCGCTCAATCATTTGTTGTTGTATTCATCAATTCATATGGTCATTCAATTGTTTAATTATACATTCATTCATTCACTAAATCCATCTGTTCTGTCATTCAAACTGTAATTGCAGCAAAAGTATACAAAAATAACGTTCTATTCCAAAAATAATTAAAACATTTGTATAAAAACAAGTCCTTAAAATGCTAACAAGTAATAAACAAGACAAACATGACTGAAAGTGAAGGAAGCACATTCACATCTTGATATACTATTCCTCTTTGTTCCTTTTTCCACATTGATCATACCTTTGGTTGAAAATTCAAAACCCTCACTGACCAAGTAGCAAACTCCCCCCCCCCCTTCAATTTGCAAATCTCATTTGCCTCTAACATGTATTTCACACTCAGATCAATTGAAACATGATGCAGACAACTTCTAAGGCCTTTGCTTAAAGAGCAAAAAAAAAAAAAAAATATTGCATTCTAGCAAGTCAAAGTGATCGTGCTTTCTACAATTCAAATGCTAATAATCATAAATCAGTTAAAGCTCCCTGAATTCTATTTACATACATTTTGGTTGATCTGCTGTCCTCTGTAATCCAAGGAAATAAAATACATATTTTTACGATAACAATTACAATGCTAGGGGGTAAAATTATCATATCATTCATCTCTGTTGATTCTGTGTGATTGTACTGTAGAATTTTCCCTGGTATTCACAATGTTTCATGAATAGCTGCAACAATTGGCCCTGCCTTAGTCTGAAATATTTAAAAAAAAATAAAATGCAATCAAATTACTTTTAACAATCTACTCAAATATTGAGCTAAATTTTTTAATGCTTTTTAAGAATTTGACAACTAAAATAAAAAATCTTAAAAGCAAAAAAAAATCAATAGAAAAAATAACCCTGAAAATTTATAGTTAGGCTCAATCTCCTACCAACAAAAACTTGACTTAACCCCTTGACCCCTGAGAGTGACCAGCATTAAAATTCTCCTTACAATATTGCCCCTGAATCAAACATTAAGGTCAAGAGAACAAAGGAAATGATCAACTACTAAAGAAGCTCTGGATTGTTAAAAAAATTCTCCTCAACAACACAGAGGGGATTTATGAAGAATAGTATGTTAAGGTGCAAACAAAGGGTTTTAAAAGAGAATGGCATGATTTGACCCAAATGAAAGCGATGGCTCACCACAAATATGGCTACAGGTAGTTGCGTTTAATACCATGACCAGTTACCAAAATAGTGTTATAAACAAAATTAAAAACTAAATTTATTTCTTCACCTTGTACTCTGCAAAGACATGGCAAATGTATTTTCCTCCTCCCATGCTTTGGATGAGTCCAAAATGGCTTCTGTTACTGTAAAAACAAAAAAAAAGGAGCTACTATATAGAGTGACCTATATCACTACCTAGTTAATTGCAATGGTCAATGAAGAAATGTAAGGCAGACAGTTTGGAGAATTAACAAGGCGATCTTGGGAATGAATGGGCTAAGCACAGTGAAACATAAGAGGCCGTAAGTGGCCATTGAATTTGATTTTGAACCTGATTTATCAGAGGCTGCAAGCCAGTTAATGTGTAAAACAACCACACCTAATTCAGTTCAAGTCACCCTTCAACATTTAATTGAAGTTTAAGAGAATGTGAAGAACAATTCCCTTAAAAAAACTTGTCTGCCGACTGTCAGCAACTGGCCACTGACAGTCAGTTGACTGTTACCGACAGTTTAATACACACCTGTTGGCCAACAGGCACCTGACAGACAGTCAATGTTCAGTCTGCAATCTGTCAGTAACTTGTCTGTATCAATACTACCATCTATTAATATCTATCATCCAAACTTAGGCAGACTTATGCCCCATTCACACCAAAGCTTAAACATGTTTAAAAGTTGTTTTGTTAAACACAGTTTAATTTTTTTTTTCTTCATAGAAACTATTTAACCAAATATTTTTTGACTTGAATGTAGCACATTGGAAATGCAAGTTAGCAAGTACTTGAATCCTATGGAAAATCAAGTTTTTCAGTTCTCTGTTTATAATTTTCATTCAATAAAAACCAGTTTAACAAAACATGTTTTGCTGGTGTGGATGGGGTATTAGATACTACAATGGAAAAAAGATGTGTATCCTCCGAAGCTCCGAAGTAAACTCGTGCTAATAACCTGTCAGTAGCCAGTAAGTGACCTTTTGGTTATCTCAGCTTACAGGTTTTTTCAGGGAGCTGTTCTTAAAAATACCTGTAAGTGAAATTTGTTCTTTACAAGCATGTATATGTGATTTGGGTAAGGTCAGTAAAACTTAAAAGCAGGCCGTGTTCAGCTAAAAAATTACATCAACTAATATTCACCAATTCATCAAGACTTAAAATGCACATTGTTGACTCATCTATTTATGTATGTAATTCATGACATCACAAGCCTGTAGTGGTAACTAATTCTTCTTCATGCAGATGCCCATAAAAGAGTTGGTTTGCATTACCTTGTGAGACCACAGTATGATATTGTATCAGCATCTAAATTCCTCTTTGAAAGTGAACTTCTTTGACTGTCATAAAGTGTTACTCCATTGAGTGCAACATCAAGTTGACAAATCAGTAGCGTTCCTCCAGTCAAATGCTACAAAATAAGAATTTAATTGTAAAAAAAGATACTTACAGAATGTTTCTAAAAAGAAATCATATGGAATGAAACTTTTCCAGCTCATTGCTTTGAAGCCTAAAATTCTTCCAGAATTTTAGTCAATTATCATTAAAAGGAGGGTGCTGGGGACAGAAAAGATCCACACAGCAATCAAATTAACCTCCAAAAGCAGAAGCCAAGTAAAAAAGGTCTCCTCTTAACCCTCTGACCCCTAAGAGTGACGAGCATATAATTTCTCCCTACAATCTGACCCCTAAGTCATGCAAGTAAGGTCAAGAATAAAGGAAATGATCATGAACTAAAGAAGCTTTTGATTGTTGAACAAATTCTCCTTATCAGAACCTTACAAAATGTAAACAGAACAGGAAGGAGAATATGGATAGTGATGTTACAGTGTAATGGGTTAAGAATTCAAAGTCGTCAGCCTATAGAGTAAAAAATAAAAAGAGGAATTTTTGTGCAACTGGGATCATATAACTTAGCTTCTACATGAATGAGGGTTTCATCCTATACTTAATGTGTCTGAAGCCAGTTATTTCAATGTGTCCTTAAAATGGCATGATCAGGAAATTAATGGTCTATAATCTCATATAAAATAACTGAGATACTAACAGCACCTGGAAAGAAAATGTCTTGGTTATTGCACCAGCACACCCATTGAAACATTTTAAATTTATTATATATATAAACTAAAAATGTTTTAATAGGATTGTCAGTGAAGTATAGTATTGCAATATTGCCCTTTATTGATTTCAAGTATGTGTATCACATACCTGTAACATGAAATTTAAAATAATAATAATTATAATATTAATAATAATAAATAAATAGCTAATTTGAAGTTACTTTTATAAAAATTCCAAAAGTTAGCATATCACCCGCCTCCAGCACATGATTTACTAACTTTCCAAGAGTTCTCCCAACATCCCACATGGGTAATTACACAGGTAACAAGATGGAAAGTGCAATCTATTTCTTAAATCTAAGGCACAAACAAAGGGTTACAATCACAATAAGGGTGTAGTAACAGGGTGTCACTTAGCAAAGTTCCAGAAATTAAGTTATTTATAAATAAAAATTGATGTCAGCTGCTATTACAGTAATCACCTTTGCTGCTTCCTCCACAGTTTCTATCCCTGTTCCAACAGCCACAGGCAGTGCACCATAGTACTTCACCATAAAAGTGTGAGTTGGTTTGCATGTTATCACAGGAATCGAAGATTGTTTGTTATCTGTTGTGCTACTTTCCTCCTGTTCCAAAAAGAAGAGAATTTTCCTCAAGTCAGTGACAGAAAATTTTGTCCATATTTATGTAGTTAAAGGTTTGAAATAAAAATTTTAATTAATTAACACAGACAAGTAGCAAAATGAAAAATGTTGTGTACATAGTGAAAATGAGTTGTGGTTTTCTTATTAGGTGTTGCATACATTAAACAGCACATCACCCCACTTTTCTAAGTCACACCAAGTCACAAATATGACTATGATGCAACATATTAGAAAAGTTTGATAGAAACCAGAGATGGCAATACAACATACTGTATGTTCTAATAGGGCCTGCAAGGGGACTAGGAACTAGTGATAGCTTTCAAAAAGAGCGTGGGGAGTATATATGTATTAAAATCTAACTAAGGGTTTTCCTGCACTAGCAAAAAAAACTAGATATGTCTCCACAAAATTTCAAAGCCGTCAAATTCTGTCAGTGCCTGATCTGCTCACAAGGGATCATCAGACTAGCTGGCATAGTTTGCCAATGATTCAAACTTCACTTCCAGGATTCATCTTGGATTGTTTTTGAGTTGCAAAATCTCAGAGTATTGCAAAAAAAAGACAGTTATTGCCTTCCTAGTAAACTGAATTCAGTTCAATTTCACACTGGCTGTAGCTCTTATGGCAAATGATTGACAAGTTTATTGTGGCAATGTTTATTTAGGTGATTCTTAAAAATTGGTCTGCTTTGGCCAAAATTTGTCAAGTCATGGAAAAACCATCCGCCCATGTAAAGTGTTGGGGATGACAGAAAATTTCTCTCCATAAACAACTTTTCTACCAATGCAGGTAGGCCCTGACAGCCAAAAACGTAAGTTGTTCAATTTTTCTTCTGAATCATCTCCAAAATGAAAGATGAATATTTAATGAATGATGGAAGGAATAAAGTATGAATTTCTTTTTTTTGAGACCTCTGATATTTAGAAAAGAAATTAACACTGGTCTCTTGTACAATTTGAACTGAAATGCTTCCTGGCTTAAATGAGTGCTTAAGAAAAGTTTTTTTCAAACTTGTTTTTTGATTTGGAGGGAGCAAAGCTTATCACAAACTTCCAGGGAGCTTGGGAGGGCGTTTAACCATTTAACCCCTTATAAACAGTAATTACTGACCATTTTTCCCTATCAATATCACCTCCAAAACAAACATTGAGGTCATGAGAATAAAGGAAATGATCACCAAAAACGCTCTTGATTGTTAAACAAATTCTCTTTGTCAGTACCATAGGAAATGTATGGAGAACAGTATGGAGTAAATGTACACTGATGTTAGGGCGTAAAGTGAGTTGTCAATGCATTTTCTTTGCTGTACTGACCTTTTTCCCTCCCCCTTTCTTTGTCCCAAGTTTTCCAAGCAAACCCTGAACACTTGTAATGAAACCAGCCTGTTATAAAATTAATTAAAATGTTTATATAGCAAAGGAGGCAAACTGGAGGAAAACAAGTATGCAGTGACTACCCACAGAGTGCATGGGAAAACACACACACAATAAAACATGTGAATAAACAATAAAAACCATCTAGTTAACCCTTTCACTCCCAAGATCTCATTATTAATTCTCCTTACTATCTTTCATACAATTCTTATAATGTTAGTTCAGAGAATTTAGTATTAGATCTCCTAATTATCCCCTCATCAATATTTTTTCTTCATTCTCATGCATCAATTGTCTGCTTGATATTGTATTGATCTTAATTGTAAGGAGAAATTATTTCTTGGTCAATCATGGGAGTTAAGGGTTAAGATTACCTCTACTTTGATTCCTACTTTTCTTTGAGTTTTACAGGAAATAGATAAGAAAATCATATTGATTTGAAATTATTCTTTGCACTAGCTTGCATGTCAACATTTTTGCAAACAAAAGAAAAAACTATGCTACATATTTGTGACTGACATATCATCTTCTTGTACCTTATCTTTATCTTTGTCTTTGTCAGACTTTTCTCTTATTTTCTCCTGCTCAGAAGCTGCCACTTTCTGTATAATATCTGGATGAGCATCCACACATTTTTGGAAACGGAGCTGCAATTATCATGAAAAAAATTCAGAAAAACAGACAGATTGAAAAAGAGATAGACAGACAAACAGACAGATTAACTGACAGACTGACTTTATGACTGAAAGACTGACTCAATGACTAACAGATTTTTTGACTAACAGTCAGAGAGACTGACTGAATGACAGAATGAACGAATGATGAGTTGGAAAGAAAAACAGACAGACAAAGGAAGGAAAAAGACCATGGAGGAAAAAACTGGAAAGTAAAAACAGAGGGAAAGGAGTGAATGAATGAAAAAGAAAACTAAGCAAGGAAGTGAATATGCAGGTTGTAAAATAAGCTGCTATAAACAAAATTTGTGTCATAAAAATTCTTACACCAAAGGTAATGAAAAAAATCATAGAGCAGCTGCCGTGAACATTATTTAGGATTTTCTTTTTAAAAGAATTGAGATGACAGAAGTACTAATCTTACCTCGCATGCTTCAGCTAATGCCTTTGTAAGTGGAGCAGCATTAGGAGAGCACTGAAACACATGGCACACAAATACATCTGGGGCTGTGGTAACAATGTAACCACAAAGTCTATTTTGAAAAAAAATTAACAGTTAGCACAGATCACCATGGGCTAGCTGCTCTGTGCATGATTTGTATATCATATAGGATGTCATGGTTTAGTGAACTGCAATTTCAATCATGGTAAAATACCCATAAGAAGTTTCAAAAAATTCAATCAAGATTGAGACAGCACCTCACAGAAGCTGGTTGGGCACTACTATCATGTGAGCTTAAAAGCCACAGGTTGTAAGTAAAGAAAGTCAAGTGTTTCCTTTGTTCCTGTTGCCAATGAAGGGAATTTGATCACAAACTGTACAATTATGAAACATATCATATTTCCACTTGTATGATAATGGTTGGAATAGTCAAATTGTTGACTCCAAGGATATCTAATGACTAGTAATTTACCTTTCATCTTTTCCAACTCCAAAGAAAGACATAAATCTAACTCGGTCTTCAGAAATTAGTTCTTGGGTCTGACAAAGAAGAAAATTTAAGAACAGTCACTAAGTATGACAGTGGTGAGATGTGCAATTTAATGCACGATTCATGTGATTAATGTGTGATTAATAATTACACATGAATAAAGGGATAAGTTTCTAAAGAAACTGTGGTGCTGCGTCGGTGGGAGAGTATAGCAGGTAATTTAGTGTTAACAACTGGGTTGAAAACGTAAATTAGCCACCGTAAAGGGTAAAAAAGCTGACATTTCGAGCGTTAGCCCTTCGTCAGAGCGATTGACGAAGGGCTAACGCTCGAAACGTCAGCTTTACGGTAGCTAATTTACGTTTTCAACCCAGTTGTTAACACTAAATTACCTGCTAATAATTACACAGTTTGAGATTTTTGTTTACTGGCATTAAAATCTTGTGTTTACCCTTAATACCAGTAAGAGAGACTGACTATAAATATAATGTCTGTAGTAAACTTAAAATTTGCAATACAACCCTTAAACTCCCAACATCTCCACAGTAATTCTCCCTCCTACCTACTAAACTATACATTATTTTCAGTTGTATATTCATCTACAAGAATTTGGTACAACATCAATTGAAAGTAATACCCTTAATTGTTGTTGGGGTGAACATTTGCTAGGTAAAGTACATTTTGACAGCCACCCATAGAGCGTCAGTATCATTACTGGCTTCCTTCTAACAATAGCTACCTGTTTGAGCCCTCATAATAGTGTCATTCTCATATTAGTCCATCTAAATTTTTGTTACATTATTTTGGGGCTGAAAATAGAGAGAGAGCAGCTTACAGTGCAGTCTGTTATCCTGATGTTTGATACACTGATTTCAATGAGAATGGTTCTCCATCCACTGACACCGCCACCTTTACTTGTTAGTTTACTTATTGCTTTGTTCAAGATCTCCACACCTAAAAAAAGGAACAAAAGTGAAAAACACCATGGAAAAAAAAAACAGTCATACAAGATATGTTCATTTCCAAATTCCTCCACTTAAAACAAATCCAAACCTGAGCAAACTTAACCCTAAACCTCCTAGAAGTGATTAACATAACTTCTCCCATTATTCAGCAAACAGGTAATGATAATACTCAAGCTCATCAGGTATACATTATTATCTTGATCTAACACAAATTCTTGAAAGAAATTTGCAGAAGCTAGAGGGGAGAATTATCAAGCAGATCCTGGGAGTTAAAGGGTTAATTAGCCTCACAGATAAAACTAATCGTAAATGATCTCTCCAGATTATAAACAGTCCCAGATAAAACTCAGTCAAGTTACCTAACATCATTATCTAACCTGTTGGTCTTGGAACATCTATGCTCCCAACATATCTAGCAGAAAAGCTCTTCTTTGGTTCAACATGGGGTTTTTCATTAAAACTGGCATTATCTGCAAAACAACATTTATCAGAAACAATGGTTACTTAAAGTTTGTTTGTTTGTTTTCTTTGCAAATTGCTTTAAATAGCAAATGTCAATATATCACAAAATGTAGTTCTTGGCATGCAGTTTGAAGTTTGCAGTTTACATTTGACTGTGAGGGCTGCTGTTTTGCGCTACGTGATTTCTCATACTTTATGCTTATGTTCATGCTCTATGCTTAAATTTACTTCTTGTATTATCTGAAATATTTTCTGGGCATTTAGGTTTTATTAGACAACAAGAGAGTAGACAGATTTTTGTGGTTTGATTCAGTGGGTGTTGCAGCAAATCTTTGCAGGTACTTACAGTAACTAATTTATCCATAACATTTACACTTTTCACTACATGGTTCCTTTTTGATGGCCTTTTACATGACAAGACATTAAGCTCCCTAAAGAGGTTGCTGCTCATAATCCACAATCATCCCAAAAAACTAAAAAAATGCATTAAACACCACAGATATATGTAAAGAACAGAATTGAGAACATACAAACTGTTAGAGACTAATGAGTTAAGAGTGATGTACCTCTTGCCGAAGAAGGAGGTGGTGTATTAATGATATCTGACCAAGGCTTCTGAGCAGATATCTTACGAGTGCTTTCCTGAGCCTTTTTCTTTTCCTCTAGAATCTTGCTACACATATCATGTAGGGCATTGGTGATTGCACGACCAGATATGTTCCCATGACAACGGAACATGTGACACTTGTGCTTGCCAGTTGAAGGATCTCGTGCAACATAAGCAAAGTCCCTAAAATACAAAGCATTATAGACTGCATAAGAGCTACTAATATAAAAGTGTATACAGACTCACCTTTCTGTGGTAAGATGCCCTGATTACAATCATGGTAATAACCCACAATTTAGAACAAACATTGATAAATTAACAAGCTCTGTTCCCATTGATAGCTGAATTTTTTAAAGGGGCAATGAATATCACTCCAACGATGTGATATTTGTTAAACTATATATCATGTAGCTTTTTCTTAGCCATCCCTGTATTTTAAGCTATTTTTAACTGTAAGCAACAGTAATTCCATGTTGACCAACTGTTCACAAATTTATATGAATCAACTAAAATCTTCAGATAACAAAACAGCTTACAAGTCAATACCTCTGATCCTCTTTGCCGACACCCCAAACCCTCATTTTAGAGACAGGTTGGATAAGCATGGTGTTCTTGGTTCTTGGTTCTGCAAGCTTAAGAGTGTCACCTTCCAGCAACAATCTGATGTCCTTACCCTGAAGGAATTCATAACAAGGAACACAAATGATAAAATGTATTACCATTGTGTTCATCATTGACTTTTAATTAATATTAATAATAACATTCAAACATAAGCTTTTAACAAAGCAGTCTGCCACCAAAAAGACACCGCCCTAGTAATGAAACATGAACTCAAAACAGTAAATATTGTTTGTGTTCTTGAAAAAAGTTTAAAAGGTCGCAATTGCTGTAATTGCTCATGAGTCATGATCTTAAAAGAAACTCTTTTCACCATAAATAAAGCAAGATTGGTAGGACAAGTCCAAGCTTAGATGCAACTGAGTGCTTATCAAATAAATAAATAAATAAATAAACAAATAATGAATACAGCATTTACCTCTCCCCAAGTTTCTCCAGTTTGCCAGAGATCTTTTCTCTTCTGTGCCAAGGTAGAGATACAGTCTGAGATAGTATCACTCATGTTATGCGGTGCAACTTGGCTTTCTTCGAGCTCAATCCAACCCATGGAGTGCACAGGAAAACTCAAGACCTGCCCAAAAAATTGGCAAACATTCAAAATTAAATAACTCTTATACTCCCATGAGTGACCAACACGTAAATACATAGTCTGGAAGGGAGATGATGAGATATCAATGTGAGTTTATTGTTTGATTTAAAACCTTATTACACCCATTTTGAAATCACTGGTGGTTCCTGTAATCTGATTGGCTCTAATTGATGTGATTTATACATGAATCGCACCATTTTTTGCTTTAAATGGCATCTTTTTCCCAGTCAATGAGGAGGCTACACTAAAAACAAAACAAACCAATCAGATTTTAAGGCTTGTTTAAAGTAACCAATCAAATTGCAGGAAAATGAAAGACAAGGAGTAGCATGTGGCAAATTTTGCAACTTTTGTTTCTTAACTCTTATTTCCCCTCCCCCCCCCCAAAAAAAAATAAATGGACATGAATTTAATCTCAGAGCGGCTCAGTACTGCATCAATAAAATATTTGAACTAACCAAGTCCTACATTTTGCGATTTCAAAATGGATTTAATAAAGTGGTAATTGAACCTCATGTCATGCAATTTTGGTCTGAAATAATACTTGTGATTTCAAATTTAACTCGCGCTGCGCGCTTGATCAATTTTGAAATCACGCATATGATTTCAGCCCAAATTGCACTCCACTCAGTGCAATTACCATTATTAATCATCTGAGCTAACATTAAAAGAAATGCACCATTGGTAGTGTGATGAGGAAATGATAAACATTCAACAACCCTTTATTTCCCTAGCTTCCACACTGCAGAATGAAAGTGTTAAATGTTAATTGTTAAAAGCAACTTAATATGTTTTTCTGAAAATGCTATTTACACTTTCTTTCATGCCTTTGATCATTTTTTACACTAAGAAGTAAATTTATGTCACAGTACATAATATTAAGTTGTAGTCCACAGTACATCCACAGTCTTCACAATTTGTAAACAGCCTGTTTGAACAAAGCATTATTTAGGGATAATGGTACCTTTTGTCTTTCTGTGCTTTCTGCTGGTTTTACTTCTTCAGTTGACTTCTTCTAAATCATATGAAATAAAGTACACTGTTATGTTTGCTTTCAAAACTGAACTTCATCTAAAGGAAAATTTCTCTTCCATGCATATGTATGAAAATCACTCATGATGGCTTGAGCAGGGCTGGAAAAAAAGCCATATGGCCAACCAGACAAGGGGTGAAAAAAAGGAAAGGAAAATGAAAGAGCAGGGGGTGGCTACACTCCCTCTATACATCAAGACCTCCAGTCAAATGTTTTCCTGTCCAGCCCTCTTATACTCAATCAACTAGTACCTAATCCAAAATGTGCACATCCCATGGGTTAAAATGTATGATGTAGACATAGCGTCACTAACATACAAGCCTTCACCTTAGGTCTGGTTGCAACTTGAGGCATGGTCCACTGTGTTGTTCCAGATGCAACATGCCAGTAATAAGTACCATTGTCACCTTTCACTTCCCTCCAGCCCTCAGGTAGCTCATAGGAAACATTTTGATCCTCACTATCCTCTTCCATGGATATTTTCTCTTTATTGAAATCAGTAGGTGTCGAGGGAGGCTCAGTTATGTCAACTTCCAAATAAGGTTGGACAGGTGATACTTTGTCAGAACTCCTTGCTTTACTGGATGGAATTGTTATTTCTGAGTAATTTTCAAAGGTGTTTGTAGGACTCAATGATCTGCCTCCAGTTCCTTCAAGTGTCACAATGTCTGCATGTGATTTTGATCGACGATGATGGAATTGCTTCCTTTCAGTTTCACATGAAAAAATAGCACCGCTATCTGTGTCCTGTTTTAATTGAGCAGTTACATTTCCATCAGACAGTTGTCTGTGGTGTTTCTTTTTAAATAATTTGAAACCACCCTTCTTTGGCTTTTCCTCTGATTTCTCCACTTGATCAGACTGGAAGGTATTCTGTGAAGGATCTGTCCTTTTCATAGTATCTTCAAGGTTTGGTAACCTTGAAGGAAGTGGTGGTGGCATCTCTTCATCACTGGACTCATCATCATCATCACCAGATGCTGCTGGTATTCTTAGCTGATCAAGAGATTCAACTGAACCATTTTGCACCACAGCATACCTAGGCTTGTCTGGTGCCTGCATATCTGTTAAGTACAAAGACAATCACCACCAATTAAATTTTGCAACTGAAAGTCTCGGAGTCAAAACTTTCAAACCTTAGTTGAAACTGAAATAACTAAGCACAAATCAGAGCAAGAAAAACTCCAAAAAAATTACATCTTAGCATATTGATTTTTTTCAGTTTCAACAATCTTTTCATTAAAAGTAAAATTTCCATAAAATGGCACGAATATTTACCACAATTACAATTATTACAACCATGTTACTAATCAGCTTATATCAGTTTTAATCTCTTCTTTTTTAGGTGGTAGGAAGGAGGGGGGGGGTGGGGGTGGGTGAGGAGGATTGGATGGTAAGTTTTCAATTCTCTTATTTCTGAGATCATAGACTGCTATTCTCTTGCAACTTTCATTAAATAAAAAAGGAAAGACGTTAAAAGATCTCTTATCAACACTGATGACAAATATTCTTGTCAAGATATTAAGCAACATGTACATCTCACATCTAAATTTTGTCAGTTTTTTCCTTACAGATTTGATAAAACATAAAGTAACAGGTGAGGCACCAACTGAGGCAATCAAGACATTACCTGCAGATGTTGTATCACTGATTTCTTCTGAGGATTTATCATTCAATTTTTCGTTTTGCTTCTTCTGTACAACAGCATAAACTGGCTGAGATGGAACCTCTGCAGGTTCTGTGGACCAGACAAATCAAAATTACCATGAACATGTTACAAAATCTGAGAAATGTGTCTTATGGGGAGGGGGAGGGGGTCTACATCCTCAGGTCTTCCCCCCCCCCCGATCTGCCACCCAAACCTGAGAAGAGACCATGAATGATGACTGACTGAGCAGAAGACATCATAAGAGTTTACATGTATAATTAGCAAGGAGTTGCTTTACAGTCAACAATCATACGTCCTGCACATTAAACTTATTGGTCAATTTTGTCTACAAGTAGATTTTCTTGCGATAGGTCAGTTGTGTTTGACTGTAACCAACTACTGAAACCTGCTGATATGAAATTGTATTCAGACCCCCAGTAACCATGCAGTAAAACCAGAGACGTCTATGAAATATGTCTCGCTGGATTTCAGCTTCATTTTGATACCTGTACTGTTCATCTTCCAGGTCGGCCAAGATGGCCAGGTTGTTCGAAGGCCAACTGGTGCTAACATGGAGTTAAATTTTAATCCAGGTTTCTATATTTCTCTATTCCAGATCATTTTTCAGATAGCTTTCTCTATTCTTTTTAGACCATCCAATACTCAAATTCTAGGCAAAATTAGTTTAACTGAATTTTCTTTTAAAGCTTTCAGATCTGAGATCAAATTTCACACTAACCCTGGGTTATCTTATCCCAGCTTTAAACAACCCAACCCAGAACAATCACATTTAATATAACAATTTTCCTTAATATGCTGACAACTAATCAAGGTTTTTTGCTTTTGATATCTGGAATTGTCTCAAATTATTTAACACCATACCTCTCTCAGAATTTTCTGATAGTTCTTTCATTACTGGTTCCTTTGATGCCAGAGAATTGAAGCCAGGTCCCGAATAAGGTTTCGGAATGGGTGGTGGAACCTTTTTATCTCCTGGAGAACCTTTCTTGTCATTAGCATTAGTCCTGGATGATATCTGATCTAGTGACACCTCGTCACATGCCATTATCATATTCTGAAGCTCTCCTGTTATTGCTTCATACATACTCGAGTCTTTGCGTCCACCTGGGATTGCAGGGGCAACATCACCCAACTCAAGAGTGGGCCTTTGAGTTGTACAAGTTTGTTTCTGTTCTGCATTCTCATTACAAGCAGTTTCCTTTGGCTTTTTCTGCACAACAGCATAAACATCATTAAGTGGACCCAACGTATGTGAGTCGTCAGTCTCTGCCCTATTCTTTTGATTGGCAGATGTCACCTTTATGTTCGTTCTGTCATAGCTACCATCAATGATCTGAACTTCTTCATATTCTGTCACCATTTTTTTCCTTCCACCAGGCCTTTGCCTATCACCATTGCCATTTTCATCCTCAGAGCTCTTGGAATACTTCTTTGCCTCAACAGGGGCAGAAATTCCCCCTTGTTCTGTCACAATCAAGGGTCGAAACTCATCTCCTGCATAGGTGTAAGATTTGCGATCACCAAATGCACTGCCATCCACTACAACTAACTCTCCTTCTTCTGAATCAAATTTCTCTGAATTCCTAATGACAACATCTCCTTCCTTTGTCGCCAAAACTTGTCCAAATTCAACTTCGGTATATGTACAAGTAGGGTTTCCACTTTGTTCATTTGTTAAAATAGTCTTATTCTCATCTTTGGCTGATGGACTAAGCAATTCCCCTGTCGACACATCACTGTCATCAAGGGAACCAGTCTCATAGCCATAGTCACCATCGGTGTTGAGTCGATCTACACTGCCATGCTCAGAGTCACTATCACTAGCATCATAACTATTCTCTTTTTTAATTTCACTTTTCTTTTTGCTGTTGGGTTCTTTCACAGGCTTTTGAGATAATGGCTTTGAAACTGCTGTTGTTCTTGTGCGTGGTGAAGGAGTAACACTATGACTGGTCGGCCTTTTCTTAGTTACTGAGGTATCTGTAAAGGAAATTTTATTTAGATTAAGAATAATACACTATTACTATCAACCTTTTGGGCATTGTGGCACATTTTGCAGGATAAAATGGGTATTTCAGCTAAACCCCTTTAATTGTTCAGACTATTTTGTTGCTATTTTTTACTACATATTTTCTCAATGCCGTCCAAAGTGATAATAATAGTTACAGTCAGCATTCACACTTTTGGGCATAAGTATGTTCTGGGTCCTTCACAGAGATCATTTTAACTCAACGCCAGATGGCTTGAGCTGAATTTACTCTGAGTCCGGCCCAAAGCAAATTTTTGCCCGCAACATTAACTCTGTTGTTTTATTACCCTAAGTAGATAAAAACATTTAGCTACTTTAACCTTTTTACTCCCATGAGTGACCAAGACAGAATTTCTCCTTACAATATCAATATAATGTCAACCAGATAAGTGATGAGAATAAAGAAATATATCAATTTGGGGATAATTAGTTGATTCAATACTGAATTCTCTGAACTAACATTATAAGAATTGTTATGGTTGATGGTAAGAAGAATGACAAATTTGATCTGGGAGTTAAAGGGTTCACTTTGAGTTTAAAATTAACCAAAATTTTAGGAATTACCTGTGGTTGTGCCAGAAGATTGCTTGTCCTGCTGAGAAGCTGCACAACTCTGCAAAAATTACACATAATAAGAATATATCTACCTATTTATAATCCAATCAAAATAACTGCAATCAGCATCAAAAGATGCAAATGTGAAAAGGTTCCTGATTATAGCTGTGTTTAAAAGTCAAGGTTATGTGATTAAACAGAAATCATCATATTTATAACTAATCCCATTTTTGCAAGCAATTAGGAAGTAAAATAAGATTATTCTCTCAAAGAAAACTGACCAAGATAATAAAATACACTGCTGATTTAAAGGGATAACTATAATAATTGCATATACATATCTAATTCTCTCTTACAACAGAAAACATGTTCAACTTAGTAATTTTATAAAGTTAGTTCTGATCAACAGTAACAAATTACTAACATTCAAACTAACCAATAGATTATATTTTATTTACACAGCAGACTCTATAGATTCAGTTCTGTACTTGAAATGAGAACTGATCTGAAACTTTGAAGTCTGTTTTCTGAGCTACATCTGCTAGCATACAATAAAACCAAGCACATGTAGCATTTGTTGTAAAGAAGAAATATTTGTGCTAATTAAGCTGAAACAGCTTGGCATAAAGAAAGATTTAAGTTTTTAGGATCATGCATGTATTCTCTGAACAGCTCTTAACATGTGCTTTGTGTTTTGTTCAGAATAATCTCTCCACATGTTTTTATCTTCGTGTGTGACATGAATCAATAATGAGATAAAAAACACCTTGGAGAAAAGGTTAAACAGCAGCCACAAAAGTACAACAAAATTTGTCAAAAGTTAGCTATCCATCAGAGGTTTAACTTGTGGAGAATTGACTGTTACCTTTTCATGGATGGAAATTTTACAGCTTGCACAATATAATGCCTCACAAGTAGCACAACAAATAACAGGTTCTTTGGACTCACAAACTGTACAAATTGCTTCCTTCATGCTGTAGATATCTTTCACCACAGAGAAGGATAAAAGACATACTGCTTCCTAAACACTATTTATCAATATTCTCACTTGCGAAAGTAGCAACAAATGCACTTCCTCTCCAATCAATAAAGAAGTGTTTTATTTGCATATATTTACATCTCTACAACTAAGTCACGGTTATTTTAAATGCAGATTTTGGAACAGGTCAGTAATAAATAATGCATGATACCTGCTAGCAATAAATATCTATGGCTATCTTAATTTGAACTTGTAAAAAAAAAACAGGCATAAGAAAAAATATAAAAATATTGAGCCACAAGAACAACAAGTTCAAGCATAAAATTTTGAAATCAGAAGTACAAAACAATAGATGCTAAATCCGAAAGGGTGATTCAACCACTTAAAAATAGACTTCATTGTTTTTTCCCAGGGATTATTCAAATAAAAGCACAAATTAGGATTCATTCATTCAGAAGTGTATTGTGTTCAAAATGGCACGTTTTTTCCTCACCTATGTGTGATATTGATAACAAGGAACCTTTTATTAAATATTCAAATCACCTTGCACATTAGTTAAGGAAATGAAAGAGGGATGTTAGCTACAGACACAAAGCTGAAAAGCATACAAACTTAGGTTAAGCCAGCATAAAATAATAATAACAATCACTAATCTTCTTTCAGCTCTGTTTCAAAAGTGACAGAAAGGAACTTTTCTTAATTCTGAAACTCTCAGCAGGGATCTCTAGCCTCAGAAAGTGCAGTGTGCAGAAAACAAGAAAGTCCTGTGGAACTAAGGTAACTAACCTCGCCTACAAAAGATTTGACTGCAAACACAAGGCATTGACAAGTGTTTGAGAATGACACAGATAAATTAAGTAGCATTCACTTTCACTGATGCATTCAAATTCAATTCAATCTGTGATGGTCAAATGTTGAATTTCATCCCTTGCATGCATGGTGGTATTATTACTGACAACAAATTCAAAACATGAAATTTTCTTCTGAAACTCCTAGCATAAAAAGTGAAGCTTCAAAATGTAAAGTAAAAAATAAATAACACAGTCACTGTGTAATTATACATCTGAACCTGAAACTGTCATGTGTTGAAGTAATTACAAATAACAAAACAAAAACATTCCTTTCAAAAACAAATGGCTGTAAGTAGCACACCATCTCATGTTGAAGTTATGGAAGGAGCAAACTGCATTCACACTGGTATGAATTTGTTTGCATTCATGGCAGAAAAAAGTTCAAACTTGAAATAATATGGTTTTACCTAACAAATGATAATCAGCATGTTACAAAGACTCTTCCAACAGTAAAATAATTTTTTTACCATGGTGGCTGCTTAGATCTAGTAAAAAAGTGTACTTAAAACAGAACAATTAAAAGCAAGCCCTAAAACTAGTCAGTTATAAATTACTGTAATTACTCTGAGCAATGCTGATTACTGTACACAACTCACAAAGTTACAGTATGAATTCCAATGCACTTAAAACCTACATGTATTCACAAAAAACCTTAACTTTTCAAGAGTCATATTTTTCCTTTGAGTCTAAATCCACCTCTTTGTACAGTGTCAACTCCCTCACATAGGTTTCTTGTGTAAAGTACATGCCGATTATTTCTCTGACACATGGCAAATGTTAACTCGCACAGCTCTTCATGAGCACATTGCTCTGCAGACTGAAATTTATTCAATACACTCTTACACTCCAGAGGACTAATGCTTGAAGTGCTAACACTCAAAACATCTGCTTAGAAACTCTTTACGGTGGCCAATTTACACCAAATTATCCTGAATTTTATTCAGTTAAGGTGAATGAAAGTAGCCTCATATAACAGCTCCCATTTGAAGCGCTACAAAATTTGTAAGTCATCATTATGATAAGATCATCATTTGAAAGTAGTAGAAAGTAATTAAAGAAATGAAAATCTGAGCTGTATAAGCAAAAATAATTAAAAACATAAATTATATCTATAAACTTACTAAAAAATTCAAAAAGACATCATTCATTTCAAATTAAACTAAATCCAAATTTCCTGACCCATGACTTTTCTAAATCTATTCAACTGTTCAAGTCAACCTCAACACTACCGGGATACCTTTTTCATTGTCTACACTGTAGTTCTGAGAATTGGGAAGAATTCAAGCTACATATTACATAAGTGTACAATTCACAAAGTACTGTTCCCAATCAACTACTAAGTGGGGCGAAAAATACATTTCAACCAGCCTAAAAACCAATTATTTCTTAAGACACAAGTTCAGTCAGTTGCTCAAGAGCTTAAACAAGATGTATGTAAAAATTAATAAGTACTATGTACATGATCATACTTTCTTGGCTACAAAGTGCCTTCATACAGTATAACACATTTAAGAGTGACCAGGAGAGAATTTGTTCCTTGCAACATTGAAACAAAATCAAGCAGACAAGTCATGAGATTAAAGAAAAATATCAATTAGGTGATTATTAGTTGATCCAATACCAAATTCTCCATACTAACATCACATAAATTCTATGGCAGACTGTAAGGAGAATTACTAGATTGGATTAGATCTTGGCAGCAAAGAGGTGAAGTTAAAACCAGTCTTGGTCATCCCCATTTGGCTTTCAGTAAAACTGGGCTCCACGTGCATGTAAAAAACTTTCATTATCCAAAAACTACATGTTGTCTTTTGCCATAGTGGATACCATTTTCGGGAGGAAAGAAATTACTAGCATTACAATATTGCTCAAATCAAAGAAAGAGATGCTTGAAGAAGTTTTCAAGGATTTTTAGGAAATATTTCTAGAAGTTTTCATGAACCAAGGATCAAAAATCAAGTTTGAGAATCAAGTTTTGAAGGACTGTCAACTTACTTTTAAGCAATACTGTTGCTCTAATTTTTAACTTCAAAGCAAAAATCATTCTTCTAGCATTTAATAGCCCAGCTAAAAATTAGTTGCTTCTTTTCAATTCAAGCTTAAACAGCTACATGTATATACCATTTGCTGGCCTTTTTGTTAAAGCCGAAAATTCAATTTAATGACCAAAGTTCAGTCACAACCCCAAATTGCTCACACTTAGCAATCCCTGCAGTTGTTTCATTCAATTTATGACATAAAGGTGTCTGACAAACCCTCTTGCCGATCACCAAGTGTAAACTGAAATAATATTTATTGATAGAAATTCAAAGGTTTAATGGAGCACTAGTTGTGTAGTTTACCTTTTTGACTGTTGTTGAATTGTCCTGAGCAGTTTGTTTTGTTCTTGTTGCAGGTTTTGGTGGGTTGGTGCGATGTGAGAGTGTTGTTTTTCCTGTGGACTTGCCACCAGCAGCCTCATTGGATGTGGACTTTCTACCAGCAGTTTCATTGGATGTGGATTTTGATGGTGATGCAGTTTTCTGTAATATAAATATAAACAGTAATTAATTATCAACTGATATCAAATATATCAATCCAAGGTGAGACTTTGGTATTAGCTTTAACACTTGGAGCCCAAGATGTTAAACATTTGTTCTCTTGTGTACTATTGACCAAAATACGGTGCTACTTCTGACATTAACCAAGGCCTGTACAGAGCCAACTGTCCTCATCTTAAAACAAGAATACAAGGTAAGGCTTTCAGCAGTAGAGGGCTCTCAATCAATTAACAGTTAGTCTGCACAAGAATCAATATGCATGCTTACAAAAGCTTACAAAAGCACACTACTATTCAAAAACCAAATTAATGGTGAAGATTACTTGAAATGCCTACACTTGCATCTAGGTGAATCCTACAGTTTTGGGGCATGCTGCATGCATCAGACGTGACTATTATCCATCACCAATTGAAAGAATTAAACATTTCACATTTGGCTATCTTGAAGCAATCAAATGAGATGCAGTCTTCAAAATCCTTGAAAATCCCAATAAGTCTTTATTTCCTTTCAAATTTAAAACAATTCCTTTATCTGGTGACAAAAGTCATGACTTAAATTTTGATCTTAAGGGTGAAAAAATGACAGCTGCTTTAGTTTTAAGGTCAAAACTTTCTACAGGGTTGCTAAAAATATCCATTTAGCTTAAGGCATGCCAAATCAAATCCTGTGTGCAATTATCCGCCATCAATACAAAAATTCTAATTTCAGTCCATCAAATTTAATTTATAGGAATCTTTCCATTGCCTCTTCTCTTTACTACTTTGCTGTTGTTGTTATCTTTTTTAATTTGACAGGAGATATGTTTTGGTTTACTTTATTTCCCTATTGGTATTAATTTACATCTTAGGTTTCAAGGACTCGCGAGAAACCCTCAAAAATTACAAAAGTTTCAATATCCTACTGTACATATCCCAATACTAATGATCATTCAATCTTGAATTAAAAATAGATATTTCATAGAGAAAATACCCAGATGTGTATTTAACTACAGATTGAAGAAATAGAGAGTGATGTGCGATCAAAGTTTTCCCATAAAGAAACTTTCTAACAGATCAGCTGAAATCAATTTTGTTCAAATTGCTCCCACTGTCGCTTCCAAAATGTCAACAATATCACTTGTTCAAATTAGAAAATCAAACAATTCAAAGTGAAAATATTTTCTTTGACAGCCTAAAGAAATAGCATGAAAAACAGTTTTTAATTATCCAAGGTGGCTCTAAAGCACGAAATTCGACCACAACATCCAGTCATATTCAAGTAAATATTTTAGGGCAGGATGTACAATATGTCGAAGTAAAAAGTGTTGTTTACTCAAGCAATAAGCGCTCTGAGGGGTGCGAAACCTTAGATGTGAGCTAAGTCAATTTTTCTTCCCACACGAAGCAGATTTCGAACAACTTTTATCATTGCAATCGTCGATGAAAGTCTAAATTCCTATACAAATGCGAGAATATTCGTTTTTAAATCGTTACAAAGCACAACAGTTTTTCTGAAAATTGCCGAGATGTTGGTGTAGCTTTAATGCGATGAACAGCGAATTAAGAATCTTTTATCAACAGACATTGAGCTTGTGAACGAACAACGCTGCGAGTGGTAAACCGAGTGACCAGTAGAAAACAGCGTAACTACAAAAACACCCTTCAAGCAATGACGGACAAATGGAAGATTTTCTAATTTTATGAAGAATCACAACCCATTGAGCGAGCCGACAACAACATTCGCTTGAATTCCTTCGGCCCACAAAATCTGAGAGAATAAACTGTCGAGATCATGAAAGAAATACAAACAGCGATGGCAGATGAGATTTGGCGTCAATTGTCTTACCTTTAGCGCCGTTTGCCTCCCATGAGAAGAGCCAGGGCGTTCGCTACTGATAGCAGATCCTCGACTTCGCTTTGAGGAGGGTTCTGTCTTTTCACTGAATTTAGCTTTCTCAGAGAGATCTGATAACCCTTTCACTTTTGTGACTAAAAAATGGAGAGATGACACACAAAAGGAGAGAAGAAAATTCACTTAGAATGAAGCCATAACAAACTGTTTCTTTCGATCGACAGTCGGTCGATGTTAATGAATGGGAGGAAAAAATGCTCTGTACATCCAAACCTTTTTCAACTTTAAACTGGGACATAATACGATGCCAGAAATAAAAATTTGAAGCCCTTGTAGATCGATCACAACACCCGGGATTTCACATAGCGGATCTAAAAAGCCGTTTCTTCCATGTTTGACGAGACGAAGGGAAGTAAATCCCCCACGATGCGTATAATTTCAATGCAGACTAGACAAATTGGCTTGATGGTAGGAAATAAGAAACTGTAAGCTATCATGACGTCACCATCGGCCTCGCTTGCAATTATATTTGCATTTTCAAAGACAACTGATGAAAGCTGTGATCAATAAAAAAAGGAATTCTTAGTCATTTTCAATGAAAAATCTGATAAAAGTTTTGGCACTATCACTCAATATGTAATTACAATAAAGACGTTTGCTTATTTGTATTGATTCTCTCTCTCTTCATTTCCTCAGTGAACCGTTCACGTACACCAAAAAAATTTTTTCCAGAAATACATTTTGGACGCTTCACGAGGGCTAAAAACATTTCTTTAAGACCATAACAGAAATTTTCAAACACAATTTTACGAGAAAAAAAAAGAAGGAACCAAAGTCATGTATAACACACAGATTACGTGACACACATGATTTATTGGATTACTTTTTCAACCAAAAATTCTAAAGTGAAAATATTTCAGTAAAATAAAGGTATTAGAATTCAGAATTAATTGAAACATAAGTAAGGTTTGCCGACCCATCCGAATGAAAAATCTAACTACAAATGAGAAAAACAAAATTTAAGCCACAGGAAGGTGACAAAGCACGTCCGACACAGATCTCCATAGCAAAGAAATGATTAAAAGCGATAGACCTGTCTGTAAGTAATGATCGAAGTTTGTCGACACAAAGAGTGTCTGGAAAGGTCTGAATAACATCATACCATCACGTAATTTATCACGTAGAGGGAGATCTTCTCCATTAAGCATACATTTCTTGTTTTATCATTTGAAGTAAAAGAACCCTCGCTTTATCTCTAGTTTAGCTCACTTACGTAAGCTGAAGAAATGAAAAGCTTAAGTTTTACGCACGCCAAAATTAATCTATACAATGCGGTTCTTTTAAAGTAACGTTTGATTGTTGGCAGGAGATTAAAAATTCTGGTACACTTGAGCCGCTCACACTCTTACAGTACCCGCTCTGTAATATATTAATGACAGGTGAGAGGGAATATTTTTAATCCAAATAATTCCGGAGGTGGCGAGGTACTTTCTGTTGTAAGAGGGGGGGTTTTAACCGTACCCCCAAGCTAAGTGCTCTCTCTATTCGTACATTCCAAAATGCCCCGTATGCAGCAAGTTTACACAATTAAGCACACCTCTAAGCAAACTAATTAACAAAGTCTGGAGTGTTCGAGATTGATAAGTAAACAGTTCTCCAAAAGAAGGACTTGTATAACATGTACTATAATGTTGTTGATAAAACATCTTGATAAAACATTTGTGAGAAAATATAATTAACGACCATTTGCCGATAAATAGCCATCGCTAGCCACCGACACTGAGATGAATACCTGTCAGTTGTATATACTAAAACAGTGAGGTAATATAGTACAAAAGGATGATTGTAACTCATTTATGCATGCAACGTTTACAATGTTTTCGGGCGCAAATCCTGCGTGAGTTGCTCAAAGGTAAACAGCAAAGGGCTTTCGGAGTTTGATAAGCCAATCAGAGCACGCCTTCACTAACGCTACCCACTGAATCAGTATACCCTAAAGCTAAAATACTTTTTTTCTAAAATCACAACTAATTCCGCACCGCAACTCGGAGGGTCTGGCCACTTTTAAATTTTCGTTCCAAAAGAGCCATAGCCAAGAGAATTTAAACTCTTGACGGGTAATAATCAAGCGCGTCATTTTATCTGCTCACGGTTCATTTTGCCGTAGCTGGAAGCAAGGGCTTTAGAAGTAAAACTTAAAAAAGTACTTGATAGGCGGAACGTCTGTAGCGTGTGGAACAATTTTTTATTTAGTTTGTGGGAAGATATCTCGAAATTTTCAACGACATCGACCCGAAAGATTCTTCGAGCTGTTGCTCTCAAGGTCACAATTTGCATCCTCAACTAAAATGAGGATAAATAAATTTTAAATAAAATAAATAAAATTTCAGCCCATTTAGTCCTTAGAAGGGATTTTGGCGGGGTTATTGCTCATAAGAAAATTTCAGCTCAGTTACCGAGATGAAGAGGGCACCATCTCTTGAGTTTCATTGCGGTTGCTACGCTGAAGTTTTACTAAGAGAAAAAATTAAAGCACCGATGTTAAGTTCTACTTAACCGATCTGACCAGGTTTTCCTGTGCACGTTAGAAAACTGTCCTTCGAAGAGAATACGCCCATGAGCAAATCCCCATAATTAGCGCTTCAATACGCGCGTTTTTCTGCTCGCGTTTCTAGAAGCGAGATCTTGAAAACCGAGAGGTCTTAATGTGTAATGTGGTTCTTCATGCATTTCTGGAATAAAAACAAAGTTAAATTGAAGAACATGCCAGAAATATAGAGCTAAACGCTCAGGACTAATTACACGGTAGTCTTTTTTTAGCCTTCGTTTCTTTTCATATCATCATTTTCTTTAATGGTGGGGTGTTCAAGCTTTCTGGACTATGAACAAGAGAAAATATAGAAAGTTTGTTAACAGACTCATCACTCTGTTTTCATCGCATTGCGTATTTCTGGATAAAATCTTTGGCTTGCGGTCATGTGGAAAAAAAAACAAACAAATCAGAAATACTTTTATCGACATAATTTTTCGTTGTTTTTCTTTGACAACCTAAAGTGATTACAATCTTAGAAGTGTCAGGTGAGTTCATTTTCAAATAATGTTCTCACTCACTCACTTAAACATTCAGTTCCAGGCAGGGAGTCCATTTGATGACAATAAGTCAGCGGGGATATTTCTTTGCATGACAGTATCCATTCATTTTTTTTCTTTTACTGTCAACCTTTTTTCCTTTGAGGGAGGGAATCGGAACTTAAAACACCTTTAATATTATCTGCGTGATGTTTCCCTAACAGTAAATACAAAAAGCGAACTTACTCAGAACAGACAATGGAGCATTTTGCTATTAAAGATGAAAAGGTTCGCAGAAAAGCGAACGAAATTCTCTTGAAAATAATCGGACTTGAGCACGAAAAGATATTTATGATGTTTTTTCAAAAATTTTTTAAAAGCGCATACCTGTGTTTCTCTCTCTCCAGTCACTGTGAATCGGGTCGACATTGAAATTCATTTCTGACTTCACATCATAACAACACTACTTCGATAAACCATTTGTCATCAAGGATAGGGACATGCACATAACCTGGGAAAAAAACCAAGGAATTAATTTTTTAAAAACGGTCTAACCAGACTTTTAGGACGTTCCAACCTTCCTCTCAAGGTAGCCAGCATATGCGTTCGTTATTTTCGACAGCAAGGGTTCCAAAGGCTATCAAATGTACTTAAAGCGTTAAGAGATATTGCTCGAATATTTTGACTGAGTACTTTTATGTTTTGGCTCGAAGGCATATATCAACATTAATATTTGAAAAGTTCTATAAATGCACCCAGCGGTCTTTCAAATTTGGGAGAATTAGAGTTACTTTAATCTACAAGCTATCTTGGTATATCTTGCGATGAGGCCTGTCCTTTCAAGTCAATGAGGGAATATCTTTCTCGGGCCTGCATGAAAAAGACATAAAAAACAAGTGGTCTAGCGTTTCTTAAAAAAAATTCCTAGTCTGTATCACGAATTGTTTTCAAAATTAACTCAGTCTCTCGACTGAGCTCTCTTATAAAATGACTATTTTTTTGCCGAAAGTTTGGACACTGTTTCCAAAACTCCTTGATTTTCTTCAGTTCAGTTAGCTTTGTTTTAAACACTGAAGCACAGCACGCTCATCAGAGACCATTGGACCCACATTATCTTTACATGTTAATTTTGGAAGCATTACCATTTATGATAGCTTGTTTACGCGCAACGTGGTCTGAATAATGGAACAAACCAACCAAGCATTTTTCCTAAGAGGACAAACAAGTTATAAATACTTTCAAAAGTAAACAAGATTATGAAAGCTATGATCATATGAACAGAGTTTTCTCGGTTTCCGAGTGAGGATTTAAATAAACGTTAAGCTCTGAGTTTTTCATAAGTTTCATGTCAACTGTTTTTCCTTTCGAACAATTCAATTCTCGAAAGCATTGTAACTTTGGGGAGGTCTAATTATTCGTCGTGTCCTGATGCGAATAACATTTCGATTAATCTTTGACAAAAGATCAAGCATTTCATTCAATAAAGGGGATATCTTTTTTTATCTGAAACAGCGATGTGCTGATAGTGGGGGCTTGCATGCTAAAAAAATCTCTCTATCAGTTGGATAACGAAAATATTTTCGGAAAATTAACCCACAACTTCTTTACATAGCGTGATTGCAGCCTGGGAAAATTCGCAATAATTCGAGAGAGCTACCATCTGGAATAATGAATCGAAATTGATTCAAATGTGCTTATAAAATTAAAAAGATGGTACGAACTGAAGGATATATTCACCACCACACCGAAATGGATAAAGATGACTCATTTTGTTTCACCACGAACATCAGGAACAATAAAATTCCATCGAGAGCTTTCTCCCCATTATTTCAATAGAGTAAAACGTAAACGGGAAAGGGAATTGAGGGGGAGGTGTGGGGGAAAATCATTAGGGTGGGGGTGAACGGTCTGAACAAGTACGTGATATAAAACATTTTAGCGGGCTAAAATCTCCTTCAGCTCGCAAAATGCGCCACAGTGTCAAACAGAGTGATAATAACCAGATTTATCAAAACCTGGATTATTGGATAATGCAATTCAAGAGTTCTCATTGGCTTAACCATCATGGGTTAAGATCCATTATACCATGCTCTACAAATATGGTAAGTGTAAGCGGTTCTTACAAAATTAAGTTGGGAAGATTTATCAATATTTTGGGGCGTTTTTGATAAAACAACTATTTCATTCGCGCTTGTTGGATATGAAATGATAGATAGTCAAGAAAATATTTATAATCTCGCGATCATCTCATATCCAACACCTGCTCGTGGAATAATTGTTTAATATTCATTGTCACCATCAGTACTATAATAACAGTAATAATAATAATAATAATAATAATTATTATTATTATTTCTATATTTGTAGCCTGGATCATGCCACTATTTTCAAAGACTTCAAAAATATACAAACTTTAATCCTTGTAACATCTTAATAAATAAACTACATGTTTAACCAATCGTTACATTAGTAGTGCGTCGTAGTAACAAACATATTTTTGACCACAGAAATATCGACAAGAAATCGAGATCCAATAAGTTATGAAAAATAACTATTTACTAGTTGATCTTTGGATGACTGGTGTCTCGCACTTTTCGAGATTCTCCCACGAACTAAGTGTCACAAAGAATGGGAAAATGAATTCATCTTTGCTTGAGAGAATTGGGAAAAAGCTCAGCACACGTATCTTCCAGTCGTGATTATATATAACCACGTTCATTAAACTCCTAGCGAGTTGGCTGTTAAAATTCTTAACATACAACCAGTTTATTCAACTATTCGCCAATTTTTGACTTCAGGTACAAAAATATCTAAAACATAAATGGTTTTGGTTGTTTTCCCTTCTTTTTCACTGCACCATGAGAAGGCGACGGAATCGAGGAAACGGCATCTTTCGTGTTAGACTTCGACAAATTTTCGGCTGATCCGTGCCAACTTCGAGGCTTCCTCGGAGTGTTGGAGACCTTCAACGAGTTCCGATCTTCCTCATTATCTGATAAGTTTCCGACGGCAGCGTCCTTGATACGAAGTCGCGTCATATCCGCCTGGGCCCGGGGTTTGGGTTTTTCCCTGGGGCTGTTTATTCTTGCGGGTTTACCTTTAGGTTTCATTAAGCCTTTCTTTGCTGCTCTCTCGAGGACTTCTTGTGCCGTCTCTACTGGTTTCTGGAATATAAAACAACGAGAAAGAAGTGGAAAATTTTACTTGCGGATAAATCATATCATGTTTTCCAACTGAATGTCGTGAAGTAAATCCCGTAGAAATGACAGTGGCTAAAGGAATATATCAGAAGGGGCCGATGAGGAGATAAAGTAAGCAATCGTACCCAAATCCATGTGCGAGTGACCAAGACGCAAAAGACGCGTCGAAAACGCGATCAAAATGCGGGCGACCAAGTCGTAATCAGTTTGGTATGGGAGACTAACGCTATTTTCATGCGAATTTTGGGTGAGACAGACGAAAGCGCGAGACCTGCGTGAAGAAGGAGTCACGCGCGAGGGGAAGAGCGCGAAAAAAGGATTTTACTCGAGTGACTCACCTTCCGCTTTTGCACCGTGCTTTTCTCCCATAACCTAGAGTAGTCCCCCCCTCCCTCCTCCAAAAATGACGCCTGTCACGCAGATTATGCACGATAAGTTTTGGTTTACTCACCTGTCTTTTAAGAAGTGCAACGAATCCTCCATTCATCGCAGCCGAAGGCTCAAGACTCAAGTATCTGGTCTCTGGTTCTAAATGTTAAATGGAACAAAAACAAAACCTTATGACTGGTAATCTTTGAGAAATGTTAATTCCTGACAGTTTACAACCATTGCTGCGGTAGATTTTACGACTAACTGAGATGCGAGGCCTCTAATATGTATGGATTCAAACTACAAACGTCAAATGGACAATTCTGCATCTGTTTGCTATATATTCTCGTTTAATATCAGGATAAAACTCTCCAGTTAATAAGACTCAAAGTCTCACTGTCCATTTGTGAAATAAATAAAAATAGTTTCCATTTAACGAAAAAAGTGCACCAACAAATGTACGAGGTTTTTTTGTTTTTCGCCGAGTTACTGTGCTTATCTTTATTTAATTGTTTTAGCAGCGTGAAACAACCTCATAGAAACAGTAACCCTTTCGTTACGATTTTGTAGAGCAAATAGAAGTTTTCTCTTATTACATCTAAAATGGCTAACCTACTGATCACTCTGAGAAAGAGTCAAGGTATTTCAAAGAATTCCCTACACAACTTACTACATGACGCTAAGAAAGACAAAGCGAAGTTTTTTAATTGATAACAAAGTCTGAGCCCTTTCCGATTGAGTGTCGTAAAAACCAAAATCACCGTGATCAGAACGGCCAAACAGAAGAAATGAAACTACGATAACTCGAAAAATAAACCACCAAACTTCCTAAAGCGCGGGAAAAAGCGAGCGACCGAGTCGTGATTAGTTTTAGTTTTGTATCTGATTGGCTGAGTGGCGCAAGTTTGTTGGACCAATCACAGAACGAAGTGAAATAAAGCCGATGAAATCTCGAATTACTATCGACACTCAGTTGAAAATTGCTCCAGTTGATAGATTACCTTTGTGTGTTAAAGTAATCTCGGTTTGAAGGAGGCCGTTAGAAATCCTGGCTGCCTCCTTTAAATTCTGGGCAACTTTTGGCAAAACTGGCGTCAGCTCAAAATAACTCGTCGATTTGCTTCGCTCCTCTTGGTTCATTTCCATAGCCTTCTTAACCACATCCATGTTTTCTACGTTCTGCGTCGAGCGCGTGATGTAAATTATGGCCTGTACTTGTGGGAACTTCATAGCATGTCTTAGAAAACTCAAGTGCTGGAAAGCGAGTCCCTTCACTTTGCTGGTGTCCACGTTACCGCGCGCAAGCTCTTTGATAGACGAGGTAACACCCTCTTGAAGGACGAAATCTACCGAGTTGACAATCCCTGACTTGGAGCAAGGCACATTAACCACGATGATTCTAACTTTCTTAAAGCGCTCATCGGTCGGAAGAGCATCTAGAAAGCTTTCCTCTAGCAAGCTGACATCTGAATTACTTGTTAAGGTTGAGCACGACAAACGATTTCAGGTATTCTAGAGCAGATCACCCAGTTAACCCTTTCATACTTAAGTGACCAACATCTAATTTCTCCTTACAATATCACCCCTGCATCACACATTACGGTCACGAGAACAAAGGAAATCATCATCAACTAAAAAGCTCTTAATTGTTACACAAATTCTCCTTGTTATCCCTTTAGGAAATGAATAGAAAACATTACGGAGAAATTGCATACTGATGTTCATATGTATCACATTTTAGAAAGGTAGAACAACCGCTCTATGCCGTATCTCCTTCGATCTTCCCAGGAAAATAGGAGACTCTGAGCGCGCGGTGAGGTTGCGCCTTTTTCCAAAAAGAAAAAGCTAAGATCATTATCTACGGAAGCTTAGAACACCTCATTAGTCTAAAGGGGAATCTAATACCGCCGAACAACTGCAAGGAGACACATTTAAAGCCACGCGCTAAAGAAGCACGTAAAAGACAAAAGAGCGGGGAAACAGGCAAGCCATACATACAAAGATAAATAATGTTTTAGCTAGTTAGATGTAGTTCTGAGGTCAACGTTTTCGCACCAAATGTCATCTCAGTCCTATGAAAGACTATTTAGGAAAGAATGTGAACGCAAATATTAAAAGAGAAATAAACTGAACTTAATCGCAACAAAAAGATACTTCTGGCCGCCATTCTTTCGAGTTTATCCTCAATCTGCGTATGACTGTCACTGGCAACACTAAACGCAAATATCTTTCTATCAGGATGGATTAGCGAAGACAGGTGGGCTGTCAGGTTCCCTAAATAAATCAACACAAGAAAAATAGCATAAATAATGATTTTCTAATCATTTGCCATAAAAGTGGGTTTCCAATAACGCTAGTGTGTCCGTTTTTGTCTCAAACAACGCTAACGGTCGAAACGTCAGCTTTAGCAGTTTTGAGAGTTCAATTGTGGATGATACGCAAATACGTACCAAAAAGAAAACGTATCAGTGCGGAGGTGGCTTGAACCAAAATAACCTGCAGAACAGGCGTAATTTTTTTGCGCCTCTCAGGCGAACGGAGGTAAACGCAAGGCGAGCGCGAAGTGCGAGTTACGTGCGAGTGGAAGAGAAAAGAAATAAAAATTATTTTGCGCATGTGAGTCGTACTTCGAGCTCGCCTCGCGCTCACCTCGCGTTTGCCTCTGTTCGCCTAAAAAATATGAAAAAAAATACGCCTGTCCTGTACGCTAGAACCAAAGCAAAATCTAAGGCTATTTCAAGGATTCAAACCCTAACTTGCTTCAGTTTCCTAGTTCGATGTTCCAATATTACACTGAACTACCAGCAATAATTGCTAAGCCACATGTAGGCCATATAACAGGTGCCACTGTTGGAATGGTGCGTTTTGGCAAATGTATAGTACAAGGGCAATGCGGCACTCCAGCTAGTTTACAGGCAATCCGCTCCAATCAATACATCTTTTATTGCATATTATAAACCTACCAGACTCTGCATGAGTTTGAATGACGTCATCTCCTTCGCCTAAAATTGTCTGAACATCAGTCCCTGGAATAAGCTGGACAGCTTTCTCTTTCTGTGAGGCAAACTCCAACACCATAGAATTGACAACTTCTGCAGCTACTACAGTTGACTTGTCCTTTTCCAAAAAAAAGTAATAAAACACAACAACTATTAGTTTCTTTCATATTCCAGCTTGTTGGAGACATTTTGGTCTGATACTTAGTGCACTGGAATGCAGGTCCAGAGGTCTGGGTTCGAGACCTAGCTGGCTCATGGCATTGTGTTCTTGGGTAAGACACTCTCACAGTGTTTCTCTCCACCCAGGAGTACAATTAAAATGAGCTCTGGCAAATTGTCAGGGAAGCCTGATGAAAAGCTGAGGGGAGGGGGGAGGGGGGAAGGGGTAACTTTGTGATGGAGTAGGAATACTCCAAGTTGCTTCATGCTATGGAAACCAGGTAAGCTAAGGATCAATTGGCTTGAGTATAGACTTTCCTCGCAGTTTCAGTAGCAGGAAGCAGGTATGAATTTTGCTATTTTCCTTGATGGCATGATTATCAATCACAAATTATCTTCCAGCAGTTCACCAGGCTTCCCTGTACCTTAGTGGAGGTAGCACAGTCAGAGCATTGCCCAATAACACAGAAACTTACTACCATTATCAGTACCAAAGATAAATTGTAGCAATAGCCTCCCTTCCCCCAACTTTCCAATCTACCTCTAAATCAAACATAGCTGGTCAATACATCATCACAAGATTGAGTTGTTAACTTACCCTAATAAGACACCTGCTCTGAAGGCTAGATAAACTGAGGTGCTGTACATAGTTCACAACAATCCTGTACTCATGGCTTGATCAGAAATTATTTCAATATTATATAATTATATATATATCAAAAAAAAGAGTACCTGAATTGCCAACTTGCCCTCTAATACTAGGTCACTCTCATAAAGATTAAACTTGACAGCTGGTGGAAACACGAGCAAATTCTCAAAATGCTGATCCTTCATAAAACAGCGTATACCAGGTGGATTATCATCATCCTCTGCTGACGGCAAGTTGTCTTCCATCAAAAAACCCTCAGTTGTTAAAGTCTCCAGAATATCACTATAGCTAGCTTTCCATGTATTTACTCTTGCATACACAGGCTGTTGTGCTGCATATTGCAGTTTGTCTTGTTCTTCTTTTGGAAGTAAGGCCTCAACACTTATTGCACAGTCTCTAATTCTGCTCCGAGCAAGGGCTGCTCGAAGTTTTGTTCGATGTGACACCAAGGCTTGTTGAATCTCCAGGATTTGAGGATAAGAAGTCTCCTTATTTTGTATCTCAACTTTTCTCTGTCTGAAGCGTTCATTGCCAAAGTAAAAGCCATTTTGTTGGTAGTCCAGTAACATCACCATAACACGATGTTTGTGATATGCCTCTAGCTATTGGTGATAAAGGAAAGAACAGAAACAAATAGGCTCTGAGCACTCCCTTCTTTGCAGTGTAGTCCTTTGCTCAAATTGAAAAAAAAAAACAGTGCCCAAAAAATTAATTTTAGCATGCCACGCAGAACTCTGGGAGTGAGGCACACAAACATAATTGCAGTGTTTGTAATGGGGAGATTCTGCCTACTTCCTTGCAGAGAGACAAAAATAACAGTTTGATTATGAACTCAAAATTTTTGCTACCTGATAGAAGTTGTTATGGGCATAGCCCATATCAGCGATCCTGCATATAAATTAAAAGTGAATAATCTAATTGTTTTGCCTAACTTAACAACATGGCAGGCTCATGTTTCTATTTCATTTTGTTTACAACTGCATAATGTTAGACTACAATAAACAGCTGGTTAAAAGCCCCCCAGATGTCTGAATATAAGCCCCACACCCCCTCCCTCCCTAGACATATGAACCCCTTTTCTTGTTTTGAGAGATAGGAACTTGATTTCTTACAACATTTAGAGGCTTATAAAAAACCAATAAATGCAAAACATATTTTGATCAGCACCGCAACTATAACTTGTTTTGAAGCCGTTTATATTTTCCAGTTATATAAACCCCTCCATTTTGTAAGCCCCCTAAAAACCCTTTAAGCCCAGGGCTTATAAGCTGCGGTTTACAGTATACACTTTACTCCCCCTGCTTTTCATGAAATAGATAATGAGAGGCATTCAGATTGCAGCATTTGTGATAGAATGAAAGAAAAATTAATTTATATCTTACAATCAGATTAACTTCCTGGCTACATCCCTTTCAGAATAAGGTCGCACCAAAAATTTTCCATGAGTACTATATTAAAATGCAAATTAATCCTTTAAGCTTCCTCTAATTTGGATTAGTTCTGTCAAGAAACAAACACCTTCAGTTGAGATATTCAAAATTAAAAACTCCTGCATTTTCTGAAAATTTGCTATTAAAATTTTAAATGCTGTCAAGAAGAGCAAATTTCATTTTACTTTGTTCCACAAATCTGAAAAAATGGGCAGAAAAATTTACATCATAAAAAAGCAGTCTTACCTTGAAATAACTTGAAAAAAAGTAACTATCCAACAACACATCATCTAAAACTGTCTCATCTATAGATTAAAAAAAAGAAAATACATTTAGAAATCGGCTTTGGTGATGATTAAAAAACACAGAGAAGCTATTTACACATCAGGAGGCAATTTTTAATAATGCATGCAAACCGGTTCAAATTTAAACAACAAATTTTGCGGATTTACATTTTGGACAAAATTTTTTTCTCTCTCGTGCTAAAAAATTCTTGGTAAATTTTGGGTGAAAGAGAAAGCATGCAAACTACCCAGATGAAAAAATTGCGGTCGACTGAATAAAACAATAGAACAGTCTTTTGTTTCGTTAAAATCAAACAAAAGCTGGGTGTTTGTTCAGTGTCCAATACAAGCAGGAAAAGAAGAGAGGAGAAAAAAAGTAAAGCTTTGTGTTTGTATAATTTTAAGGAATATTTCAATCTTCTAATGCTTGATTATAGAGACTCAGCATCAAAGTCTTTGAAAGACCCAATCATTTCTTCGTCTATTCTAAGAATTAAAAAAGACCACATCTCTTGTTTTGCTGTTTGAAACCAAGTTACAAAGGTATTTTTTTTTAATCTTTCAAGGCAGTTTCTAAGGTATCACCATCGTTGCTGAACGACAGGCAAAGAATTACGCGATCCCGTTGTAACGGCAACCGAGTAATATTCAATAACTCGCTAACCTTCATTAATTACAGTACAAAAGAAACCACAAGAATCCCATACTTTGTATAATTATACCTGCCGAGGACCTTAGAAGTGTTAACCATGACTACGTGACTTACATCGCTTTGCGCCGAAAGCCAAGCTGTACGCTCGCCTTCGCTCCAGATCCTCCTCAAATGTTGGAAGCTGTGAAGAGGGAATTTGACCCTTAAGATGTCGATAAATTTCCCCAGCCTTTTCGTAGATGGAGTAACTGAATGTATCCCTCTTTTTTCGCGCACTGACCGTACTCTCGCTCTGACTTATCCGTACATTCGAGATGGCATCATTACAAGCATTTTTGACACCGTTCGAAGCATCGAAACTACTCGTAGATTTTTTGGCCTTACCAGATGCACCACTGCTTCCTTTCTTTAACATTATGGGGAATTTTAAGAACAAAAGCGTACTCGATTGACCTAGAATTTCTCGTGTTTTGGTTTCTGAACTTTCGCGCTACTGAGGCGATATCTGGTTTCAATCAGGCATCACCAGGGAGCTAGCGAATACAAAGAATGACGTCACAAAGAGGAAACAAAGAACTTTGTTTACAATTGAAGTACGCCTTGTAACAGTAAGAATCGTCTGAAAAGATCATTAAAAGAAATGATAGACGCTGGCACGCGTAGTTAAGCCTCTCTCAGATCATCCACTTTTAAAACCGACCAAAGAGACGAAGACAGCCACGTATGACGATGTAGGCAAGCGTAAGGGGAAGGGGGGGGGGATGCGGGAGAACGTAACATCGTGGGAGGGGGACAGGGATTAACCTTTGAGACCTCCGTAGATTAGGGAGAATTATTTCCCTTCGAAGAGTGAACCTATGCCCCCCGTTTCCCTTCAGCGTCGGAATGTCCACGGAAGGGGGCGAGAAAGGCATAGACGGTTCACCTGGGCAATTAACATGCGAATTGAAGCTTCGAAGGAGCAGTTTAAACTTTACCCCCAAGAGTGACGAGCATGTAATTTCTCGTTACTGTATCACTAGAAGAAGCTCTTAATTGTTTACCAAACTCTCCTCGCCAGTACCACAGGAAATGCAGAGTGTACAGGATAGAGAATATGCATGATGTTAAGGTGTGATGCTTTAATAAGTGAGGTCTAACGATCAAGACAAGATTAAACACAGTATGCCATAATTTTATTACCTCAGTTCACAGACAGACAGAAGGATGAAAGTACAACTTACAAAGATTATCTACTGTTCAAGAGAATCTACAGACATACAGTTAACTGCGGAACAACTTCACATTTGAAGAAAACAAAACTAGAACACAAACAATACTTCGTTTTGTTTTCAACCAAACACATAAAGCTTTCTTTTAGACAGTATCAAGAGGACTCCTCTTGATAACAAGATATAAACCATTTTCCACAATTAACGGCACGTCAATTAAATTCTCCAATTGCATGAATTTTCCACTCTCGAGAAAACCTTTCGATATGGAGGAGAAGCTCGTTTGATGAGACCTTAAAATTTATTTTCTACAAAGCGGGTCCACTCCTTTTAGCTGACCAATAAATTGTGTCAAGAGTCGATACGAAAATGAAATATTGTTTGTCAGTGTGATCCAAACACTTAAAATATAATAACTTACTCCCAGTTTTAGAAAAAAAAGTACTGAAAAGGACGATTCTTCACAGCTTTGCATGAATAATTATTAAGGTTAAAGACTACAAAATGGGCTCAAAATGCCTAACTAGTGCCTTGACAAACAAACATTACTAAATACTTAAACGGTACGAAAATGATCTTAATATGAAATTACCGCAAAGAACAAACAAAGAGCCCCTAAAAACGCGAGAAAAACAATACGAGTAAAAATTACCGTCGTAAAAAATAGTTTCACTTCCGAAAAATACCAGAAATACTCTATTGTTTGTTTATCCAATGACTTTATGATCTCTACTTATATCAAGAAAAGCTGTGAAGATAATATCCATAATGCGAAGCCCCTACTAAGCACCATCACTTACCAACCCTCCCCTCCCAACTCATAAAATAAGCCCCCTACCAGAGTTGGCATCAATAAGGTACAAAATTTTGTAATTTTAAAGTGTGACTCTTTATAAGAACTTTTAACGGTTAAATACCTTCCCAAAATTTAAATATTCTATTCAAAGAAACGTAATCCCCAAAATAAATGGAAAACATCCCGGAAAAATATTTTGAAATCAAAAAATCTTCTATGAATCCTCGTTCCAATTTCTTTCCTAAATTTGTTTAGTGGTATACTAAAATAAAGACCTGTACACGATTCAATAATACTCCTACTACAAATGATATAATCTGTGATGAATTAGAGTCGAATATTAGCAGTTTCAAAATAGTGCAGTTATAAACTTGATTGCGATCTGCTCTACAAGTAATCTTCACATCATAGCTTATGATCATGTGACATACATTTCCAAATACGGGCAACAGAGAGACCCAGTCAGGAGGGAGCTTACAAAACTAACCTTCGTGGGCAAAATAAGAGACGCTTCCTTAACAGATGATCTTTTAAACGGCCAAGATTTAAAGGACACGTCAAAAGAACATCTGCTAAGAAATTCATTGAGCCAGCTGCAGCTTAAACATTAATCCCTATAAATTTTCTGTTAACGTGAAAACAAGGAAAAAAACAACAAAAAAAAGAGGAGGTCTGAACTGAGAATTCATAAACAACTTTTTTTGTAAAGGGATTCAGAGAATATGATGGTCATTCCAGTTATTGGTGAAACATTTTACTACAACATCAACTACATTTATTTTAAAGCAAACTGTTCACAGTTTGCAAATCAAAACCTTTGCCTCCTTAGTATCCTAGAAAACTAACATTTAAAACAAGCTTTAAAAGCTTCAATTGTGCAACGCAAAAGTAGTGTGTGTGTGCGTGGTTTTTTTTTTTGGTTTTTGTTTTTAGTCTAATGGCCCTATTCTTCAAAAGCTAAATGCTCACTAATGAAGGTTGGCCAAGGTAGGTGAAAGAATGAAAAAAAAAAGGTGACAGGTGACTTCATAGGGCTAATTTCTTTTCATGAAAATTGATAATGTTTGTCGGAAGAGGGGGCTTTAATTAAAGCACACCTTCAGACTGAGGAGGGTGAAAAACCCAAAAATGAGAGGATGTTTAAGATGCAGCCTTGCTCTGACCAAAGTGAATAAAAACCAGATGTCTCATCTTTGACAACTGAGGAAACTAAGTCTTTTAGACTCCACATAAATTCTGCTGCGCAAAAAATGTTTTACGAAAGACTCTTTGGAGATATTGCAAAGATCTTGGTAAAGCATAGAAAGCAAACCCTTTAACTCCCACCAGCTCATTAGTAATTTTCCTTGCTATCTGACATAAACATGTAGTTCTTGTGATATTAGTTTGGAGAATTTGGTATTGGATCATCTACTAATCCCTAAAGTTTTTTTTTTTTTTTTTTTAAATTCTCAACACATGTCTGCTTGATATTTCAGTGATATTGTAAGGAGAAATTCTATCTTGGTCACTTATGGGAGTTAAAGGGTTAATAACCCATCATCATTCAAAATCTCTTTCCACATTTGACAGAAGGGAAACTCATAAATGTGTGGCTGTGGTAAAGCTTCCAATCAGAATGTTGCTTTGTCCCATAATCTTAAACTTTGCTGTAGCAAAGTTTACAATTTCACCATTCACATTTCATACTTTTTATAATTTTGACAAGAAGTCTAAAGATTCCTGCCTTTCCTACTAGAATGGGTTGATTCTACACCACAAAGATCCTCGCAAAAACATCACATGTTTACTGAAGAACAGGAGGTTTTCTTCTGACTGACCTGCTTACTGAGATAACAATATACTCTGTTTGCTTGTTTTCTTGTTCATTTGTATTTATCAATTCCATATGAAAAAATATTGCATGTATTCTACAAAATATACCAAATTACAAGGAATAATACTCTTACTTTATTCACTTCTCTGAGAAACAACTGATGCCAAATATTCTTAATATAGTGCAGCACTATTACCATACTTCCCACTGGGTGCTATAATGTTTATCAATAATTTCTCTTGCAGACAAAACATCAACAGATTGTGTAGAGCTTGCCCAAGCATTTGATTTCTTAATATACCTCATTATTAGTAAATTAGCTACGCCTTCAAATATCTACTCTATGTTTATTGAGATGGAGCTGTACCTCAGTTCATTGCATGAGTGAGTACACTGTATGTCCAAAATTCCATGCCGTTCTGTGGTTTTAAAGATAATTTACAATGGATCTCTTCACTCAATCACCCACAGCTTTGCAATTAGAAGCCTTCTCTGATTGCAGTGATTCCTGAAGCCTCCTCAGTCCCTCTTGAATGTACCCACACAAATGGACAATAGAACTACAAAACAAAACAGTACATCAGTCATTGAATGTCAAACGCATTTAATCAACCAAATGCAAAACTAAAACCAATCATGACTTGGTCGCCCACATTTTCCTGGGCTTCAAAGCACTTTGGTTGTTCCTTTTTTTTCCTATGAGTTCTCATTGGCTCTGAAAAGTATTTTTAACTAGCTCTTGTGATTACTAGTACTTTGCATTTACTTTTATAAAACTTAATTGCAAAGCACTCTAATGAACCACTTCATGCTACAATACCTGTGAAGAGTAAGAGGTCCACAGTTGCGATCCAGATCCATAAAGAAATCTGTCAGACAAAAGAAATTTACATCAGCCAAACAAAGGGAAGGGAATAAACTTCACCCATAAATATCACCATCAATTTTCAATGTGGGGTATGGGTTTATGCTGCAAGTGAAACTTGTCATGCACTGACTCAATCACTTCTAAGCCTCTCAGTCAAACACTGTTCCTGCTTGGTGCAAATTTTGGGAAGAAATCAAGCCCATGATACTAAAGAACAGGTGAAAAGCTTAAGGAGGGAGTTGAAGACTATTATCTCAGAGGAAATAAAGCCTGATGCACCTCTTTTTGTTCAATTAATCACTGGTCAGCCTTTTCCTAATTTTTTTCCAAGTTGAGAAAAGAATGGCACTGATTTTTGTCATTTCACCTCTAAATTCAAGCACAAGAGGTTGAGCTTGGTCCCACAAATCTTGACTGTAAACCAAGTTGTTGACCACAAGAATTTGCTGCTGTGTCAAGGAGTGAATCTTCTGTGGCATGCACACGTTGACAGGCGATGTCATTGCATTAGATCCAGTGGAGGGTTTACCATTTCGAGAAGGTGTGGTCATTGTTTCGTTGCTGCCACTGCTTCCTACACTGCCAACACTTCCAGACGGAGATGGTGTGGGTGACATGGGTGATGGGGTGCCAGTTGTCCTACAGAAATAACCACAGAATGCTCCAATATAAATCAACCAAACAGAACAAAACAAACATGCAAAACACACATACCCCCCCCCCCCCCCCCAAAAAAGGCAAATCCAACAACACAAAACTTCAATCTGACCAAGAGCTCACACTTGGTATTTCAACTTTAGAAACTATTAGTGATAGCTGATTTACATTTATCAACCTTGTTTATTACACTAAATTATCAAATAAAAGGAATTTTTTAACAAAGTTGTAATAATACAAAGAGGACGGAAAAAAAGAAAATGAATGAACATCCAAACAGTTTCAAGTACAACAAAAAAAGACATTGAAATTAAAACTGGTTTTCCTTTGACAATTACTTGCTGTATCTAAGAAATACACATCAACTCTAATTATCTCAGAGTGAAATAAATTAAGACTCAAGCAGAATTTACTTCAACACTTCAGTGAATTTTTACAGTATTTGCAGCAGAAGGGTAACTTACTTTGTGTTTGATGTATAAGGTGAGGGAGCTTGAGTGCTTTTCGGAGGACCCTGTTCAAAAAGCCAACACAAAAAATTTTAGTTTAAGAAGATAATACTCCTTTGAAACAAAAAGAGCAATGGCAGCTTGTAGAGGGATCAATATCACATCACACACTATTAACCTTTAACTCCCAAGATCTCATTAGTAATTCTCCTTACTGTCTCCTATACAATTCATGTGATGTTAGTTTGGAGAATTTGGAATTGGATCAACAAATAATCCCCTAATTAGTGTTTTTCTTTATTCTCATTACTTGTCTGCTTGATATTGTATTGATAGTGTGAGGAGACTTAAAGGGTTAAAGTACAAGTATAAAGGACAGCTGGCAACAACATTTGTCTCTGAGCAACTTAGATGTCTTTATTCTTAACCCTTTCATTCCCAAGATCCACATGTTATATTCTCCCCACATTTAGCCAAAAATGTCCTAAAATTTAGCACTCAGAAATTAGCACTCAACCAAACAATTCTCCGAGGTGATGTCTTTCTTTACCTCAACTTTCTGGTTGCCAATGCAATGCAATGCAATTGTGTGGAGAAATAACTTACTGTGGGTCACTCCTGGGAGTGAAAGGGTCAAGAAACCTTTCTTGAGCCTGGCAAACAAAATTTCCAAGACCAGAGCCTTCTTCAAGCATTCAGTTCAGCACATTGGGCTCAAAATCTGGCAGCCCTCTGTTCCATAACTACTCTGACTTCTGGCTGAATTAGTTTCTGGGAGGTTCTTAATTTAATTGCTCTAATACTGTGTTTTATGTTATCTTAAATAACTAATAGGATTGTTTGCTACTAATAAATTGAGTTAAGCATTGCTCTAACCACAGCACACGAGACTGGTTCAACTTAAAATATGTGGTAATGAAGTTTGAACTGATTCTATCACTTACCCTAAAATGTTCAGTGACCATCTGCAAAGTGATAAAACAAAGTTTTTTTATTAGACACAAGTCAGTAACATTGCCCTGAAACAGTTACTCCCACTAACATCAAACAGGCTCAAGTCTATCCTAGAGCTTAGTACCCCATCCAGCCACAACTTATCCCAGGTTCTATAGCATAATGCAATTAGGAGTAATACCACTTCCCCCCTGGATGGGATGCCATTCCATCGCAACATTACCGCCCAGCATTCCATCAGGCTTCCCTGACAATTCCCCATTACCCATTTCTACTCCTGGATGGAGAGGGGCATAGTGAGAGTAAAGTGTTTTGCCTAAGAACATAACAAAATGACCCAGCCTGGTCTTGAACCCGGACCTCCCAACTCAGAGTCCAGCACACAAACTATCTGGCTGACGCCTCTCTGACTGTTCTGACTAAGAGTAAAAGAAAAATCTTTGAAATTTAAAACATAACAAAAACAGAATATGTAACAGGTACAACATGCAGAAGATGAATATCCTTAATTACCTTAACATTTTTCATAACACCATCCTTTCTTAATTTGTAGAGCCTCATGTACAAAAGGGATTGAATTCTCATGCTAAATCAGAGATAGAAATAAAAAACTAATTTATACCAGCTATAAACATAACCATTGTGTGACTCTGATAATGACTTCCGCTCAGGTTGTCGATCAACAAAGTTTAAAGAATTTCTTCAAAGTCATAACAAGGCAAAGGTAACTTAAAATCTAACTGATTGTGATCAAATAGTTTAAGGCCTTACCATAAAACAGAAAGTCTTTTATCAGGAACCCTGTCTGATCTGTGAGTGTATCGGTTGACAAAGTTACGCATTGTGTATCTGAAAAAGTGAAAACATTTTTCCTGAATAGAGTTTTAATGACATAACTTACGGGAACCAAACCCTCTTTGAGCATTTTCCATTCAGTATTGACAGCCTTTAACTACCAAGATGTAATTATTCTTCCTTCTAGCTACCACAAATTTCCTTGTAAATTAGTTACAAGAATTTGGTGTTAGATCAAGACTTCTACCTGATAAGTTTTAAAATTCTCATTACCTGTTTGCTGGATAAAGTATGGTTATTACAAGGAGAGGTTACATGTCAATCACCTCTGGGAGTTATAAAGGGTTAACTTATCTTAACCCTTCAACTCCTAAGAGTGACTAGCATATAATTTCTCCCTAAAATGTCACCCCACATTTTAACATAAAGATCACTGTGAAATGTAGTATCTAGTTACCTGAGAAGATCCAGCGTCTCAGAGTACATTTGAAATGCTGAACGTGATTCTGACTCTTCATTTTGCTGAGATAATCAAGAATATCAAACTTGAATTAGCTAGTGCAGGAAGACAGACAAATTGAAACACTGACTGAGGCATTCAATGGTGAAAAAATGTCAAAATATATATTAAGTTTAAATGAAACAAACCTCAATAGCTTTTCCGCATCTTGCAAAGTTTAAGACAGCTTCAACATACAAAAAGGCTTTAGCATCCTTGTCAGTCTACAAAACAATGTAAGTTAACATCAGCACATTTTTAAAGCTTCATCAAAAATGTCTCGAACTTTTTTTTAAACTTACAGAGGAATCAGCTTTGTGTTTGAGTCTCTTGGCTTCCCCAAGGTAGTGGTCTGGCCCGTAGGGTCTGAAAAAAAAAAGTGATGAATAATCTTTAGTACTGTTGTAACCTCATCAGGACTCATTAGGATTCACCAAGAAACAGAAAACATTCTTGTGACTCCCAACATTTTCATTTAAACAATGTCCAAACATTTACCAGTAATGAAATGACTTTTCCCCTCATATTAACCTAAACACTTCTTTGAAAGATCTTAATCTTTTCACGCTCAAAATCTCACTGTTGTTTGTCCTTACAGTCTGCCATGCCATATAATTCTTTTGATCTTACATGTAGCTCCAAGAATTTGGTGTTGGGACAACTAAAGATCATATAATTGACATTTTTCCTTAATCTCCTCACCTGTCTGCTCGATATTGTACTGATGTTGTAAGGAGAAATTCTGACTTGGTCACTAGTTGGAGTTTAAGGTTTACTCTTATGTGCTATTTGCTGTAACTGTTAGGCAACTGGTAAAAAGAGATGAACCTAAAACTTACACTCTGGGTTCTGGATCATAAAATCTTGTAATGTCTGTTTCTCTCTTCTTCTCAGCATCGCTGGTTTTGTTGCACAAGCATGTGTGAGGAATTACACCATTACCCACTACATCCATTCCATTTTCATTGACAGAGCCATTCTGAAAACTGGATAAAGAATTGTGATCTATGCTGTTTTCATTGTCTTGTCTCTGACGCTTAATACGATGAGTATCCTTTTCCTGACTTGGACTTCGCTTCCGCATGCCATCCTTTGAAGGGCGAGAGTTGTTACTGCTTGAAGTCAGTGATTGCTCATGAGGCTTTGTTCTGCAGGTTCAAAACATTCACTTTTACATCAGGTGAAAACTGCTTTTTAAATGAAAGCCATATCCTTTATCTTTTTTTATCTTTCAACCAAACAATGTAACAAAAACGTTGAAAGATGTGGTATTGTAGAAATTATTTCCCAACCAAATCACACAAACCCTGCACTGCTTTAAATGGTCATCAAATTCCTCTTACCTATTAGAATCCACATCACTTTTACTTTTTACTTTCTTGGAAACGTCCTGTTCTATTGACTTTGCTTCTGATAATTTCCGCTTACGAATCTTCACTTCTGGGGAACTTATGCCATCTCTGCTGCCATTGGTTTCAACCTTGGGTGGTGAGACTGAATGTTTGGGCTGATCATTACTTGGAAGCCGCGGTATCCTTTTGAGGAGTGACAAGTCAATTTTTACTATAAGGGACTCTGGCTTGTTGACTTCATCATATGTGATTTCAACATTCTTTCCCAAAATATCCCTATTTCCATTTGTTGATATCAAACTAGATAACAGTCCATCTCCGTTCACATGTTTACTAAGGCCATTTGTTGTCACAGGTTTCTTTTTTACTCCTTTCGGATTTTCAGTCTCTTTTGATTTTGTTGTTTGTTTAGCTTCCACCTTTTTATTGTCGATTCCCGGACTAGGCTCAACGCTAACAATATCCACAAAAACATCTTCATCATCAACCTCACTGGTCTCCTTCACAGGCTCGTTGCTAACAACAGTTTTACTAACACCTTTGGTTTCTGATTTCTTTTTGGATGATTTTTTGGTGACCATTCCATTTGGTGTTTTTGCTGTCTTTGTAGCCTTTTTAACAACATCGTCAGAACCAGGATTGCTAACTTTGAGATAAGTAGAATTCTTTAAAGAGTCTGTTTGTTTGGACTTAGTGGGTTTCTTTGGGGAATTTTTGGTAAGAACTTTCTCCTGGCTTGTGTTCAGCTTGGACTCCACATTTGAAGATCTCCTTTTCACCTTCTTGTCATCCTTAGGTTGTTGTGTCTTCAAATTTGTGACATTATTCTCAACAGGGACAGTACTTACAGGTTCAGCAGAGTCTACACTCAAGTCTGTTGGAAGTGGAAGATCAAGCTTGGCTGTTAATGACTCAATGTCCACTCCACGGTTTAGGTCTGGGCTGAGGTCAGGAAGGCCTTCAGCAAATGGTAAAAAGCTCTCCTCAGATACAGGAGCCACAGGGCTTTTTGCAACATGAGAGTTAAGACAGCTCTTATTTGCAGCAGGAGCAACTTGGTTTCCGCGAACACCGTCTCCCCCAACTGTGTTTGCAGCTGATGGACTTGGTTTTGTCTTTGTGGTTTGTGATGGTGATGATTGATTGAGTGCATTGGCAAAGTGGTTTAGACCCCAGTTTCGTCCACTTGTATGCTGAAAGAAACAAACTTAATTGTTTAGGCCAGGTAGTGAAAAAAAGATAATCAACTTCACCATTCCCAATGTGGAGTTCAAGCCACATTGGAAGGTGAAGGAAGCCACTACTTTAGCCCAATAGGCATTTTTCCTTTAGAAAAAATATTTGATCTAGCAATTGTGATGTGTAACAACAACAACAACAACAACAACAACAATGGTACACCACCACATTTTGACTCCCAAGATTTGATTTTTAATTCTCTGCTCTATCTGCAACACATTTTCTTGTGCATAAGTTACAAAAATTTGGTGTTAGATCAAGACGACAACTTCCAGCTGATAAGTTTAAGTATTCTTATCACCTGTTTGCTGGATAGCTAAAAGAAATCATTGAGAGAAGTCACAAGTTTATCACTTTTTCCTATTATGAGCCTCTAGATGATTATATGCTTTTAAACAATTTGGTACAGGCTGTAGTGTTCTCCTTAGCTTACCTTTGGAGAGGATGATGGTTCATGAACAGGAGATTTCCCTGATTTGTCTTTGTCTTTAGTATTGTTGTTTGAGTCAGAATCACTATCACTATCACTATCGCTGCTGTCTGAGTCGCTGTCCTCACTACTACTTCCACTAGATGATGTTGAATGGGAACGATGACGAGTAGTCCTATTAAGGGCATTGCAACATTAGTGGATGCAGGTGAACACACAGCTCATACAAAACAAAAAGTTTCAATGTTGCTGTGGGTCTGTACAGTAACAGATCACACAGGACCTCAAAATGTGGCAGGACCTTTTTGGTTCTTACCACATTTTCACATCATCTGTGATCATTTACTGAACAGAAGCATGGCAATACAGGATCTATTTGTCAAAAGACACAGGATCCTGATATAACTAGATGAGACAGGCTTATTCCTGTAGAGAACAGATGTTTCCTTTGTTTCATACACACAACATTACAGTTAGCCACATTTCTTAACCCTTTCCACCCTAGCATCAGTGTGCATATTCTCCCGACTGTTCTTTATAAGTTTCCTAAGGTGCTGACAAGGAGAATGTGTTTCACAATCAAAATCGCCTCAAGTTGGTGATCATTTCTTGTATTCTTGTGATCTTAATGTTTGAATCAGGGGTGATATTATTAGGAGAAATTAGATGTTGATCACTCTTAACAACCAAAGGGTTAAACTTGCACATGTCTATCAAAAAATGCAGTACTCACTTGTCATCCTTGGAGGGTGATGTACTTGTAACTGGGTGTTCCTGTGGGAGAAACCAGCACAACAATAAATAACATCATTTCACACAGATGAGTTTAAGATTTATTGCTGAATAAAGATTATTTTCAACCCTTGTGATTAACTGCATATGGCCCAAATTGGCCTTTAACCCTTCCAGTCCCAAGATGTCACTAGTAATTCTCCTTACTGTCTGCTGTACAATTCTTAGGGTGTTAGTTCAGAGAATTTGATTTTGGATCTAATAATTCCCTTGTGCTTATCCTTGTTTACTCTCATCACCTGATTTTGTGTTAATGTTGTGGGGAGGAATTATTTCTTTGTCACACAAGGAAGTTGCAGGGTTGACAAAAGATAACAACAGGAAACACAAAAACTTACATGTTCATCATCACTGTCATCAGTCAGGACTAGATCATCATCCAACAAAACCACATCATTCCCACTTTCTTTCTTGCCTTCAATGCTTTCTATTTAACACAATGTAAAAGGAAAAAGTCACAGGCATAAAAGTTGTGCTAAAGAGATTCATATTGTAACAGAGACCACCTCAGTAAAAATAAGGCACATTCACCTAGCTGTCTTTCAACGAGGTTAATGCCTTACCAAAATCATGACTTTTCCATGAGCTCTTTTGCAATCATTTCCCAATTTGTCAACAAACAAGAAGTTTGGATCAAAATGATGCAAAAATGATCATACACTTCAGGAAATAACATTTCTCACACAGAAAACGATGCTGAATTATTATTACTTGCAAGATTTGTCTGGTCAATTTTTCTGACTGTATTTTTTTTCTGTTTTGGTACTAACTCACTTTAGTAGTAACTCAATCTACAGGGGAAAACTACAACTTGGTTTTTCACCTATCATCTTCAAGTTTTAGATTCTCTGAAAGCATTGGTAACTAAACTGACAGAACAGAAGTGCACACACTGAACAAATGCACCCTCAGCCCCCTTACCACTTGTGTTTCTCTTTGTTGCTAAAGCTGGAAGCACTGAATGTTCCTGAATACTATTACGATGAAAAGCAAAGATGGAGCTGCCTCCTTTGATTGGTGTGTGGATTCCTGTGAGCGGTGGAGCCACCTGCTGCATCTCCTATCAAACAAACAAACAAACAAAGATAAATGAATAAACAAACATTTTGGGACAGAGAATGTATGATGGGATCGATGTCAGTGTCAAAGCAACTTCACACCAACCCCCCCCTAAGCCAAAAAAAAAAAGAAAAAAGAAAAAAAAAAAGGCAGTCTACTGAAAACATGAAACAGGGTTAATGTTGAGTTGAGGAAGGGGTAAGTGTGTAGTTATATGCAATCTGGCCTCTACTTATGTCACCATGGTGAGTAGGAAAAAAATTTTAGCCATTAAATTTGTAGCAAAGGTTGCCTGTTTGGCAAGAAGATATTTCAAGTACTTAGTGATATTAGATGCATGGTAAGAATCAAAGAGACATTACCATTCACATACATTACAATTAAGTGAATGTTCCTTCCTTTTCTTTTCAAAAAATTGCTACTCTCTCCTCAATTGTCTCAGCATTGAGCAGTGAAGGGGTTGCATAGTCCTCTTAATATAAGTCAATTATTCTAATCAAAGTTTGTTGAAAATGGTGCAACTACACTAAGCTGGTAGCTTAAGTTTAAAGTCACCACTGAAACAAACTCTGTATTATTCATTCAAGTTACCTTAATGTATATGTTTAATAAGCATTATCCTTGAAATTTACGTCTATCTTTGACAACATCTGCTCTATTCTACCTCTGATTCAGGATTAAAAATTCCATTTCCCTGCTATTTGGGAACATCATTCCCAATTATATGTTTCACATGAGAAAAGGAAAACACAGAGGTCAACAGCACTTTCATTCAACTAAACTGCCTTCAGAAATTATCATCTCCAAAAGAGATCTATCATTTTCATAGTGGCAAAAGTGTCAGACACAGAACTTCCATAGTGCATGTGGTATTCAAAGAAGTCAAACAGAGATTACCAACTTGTGTATGAATGCAAAGGACAGAAAATACAGTGAATTAATCTTTCTTATTAATAATTGTAACAATAATACAAAAATTTCTACAACGCCCTATTCTAGAGCTCTAAGGCACTTTAAAATAAAATGTTTTAAGCAGTAACTTAGTAAATAATAGATTCAAAAAATACTAAAACAAAACTACAAATTAAAATAGCACTTAAAAAGATAAGTTTTAAGGTTGCTCTTAGAAAATGTAAGATTTAAACTACATTTTATATGCTCTGGAAGATTATTCCAAGGTTTAGGGGCACAGACCGAATAAAGCACAATCACCATAAAATTTTAACCTCGATCTAGGTGTCACTAACGAGTTTGTGGTTGATGATCATCTCTTCTTAAATGTCTCTTCTCAAAAGATGCTCTAAAGGAGCATGTTTTGTTCCACTTACAATGTAAGGTAAAGTAAGACAAAACAAAACATTACCTCAATAATCTTCTCCACGTTGGTTGGCTGATCACTCATGGAAAGATTTTCTTGCTGTTGGGTAAAAGGAAGAAAATATTCACCCAAACCATTAAATAAATTGAGTTGAAAGATCAGATCATAAAGCAACACTAACTGGTGAGACAAAGAAAGGGGTCTTGACTACAAACATAACACCTAAATTCTGTGAAAATGAAAAAAAAAGAAATTTAGTGGGCACAAAGTTCCTCATTAAAATCAGGGAGGAAGACATAAATGAAAAGGAAGTAAATTTGACAGAATTTAAACAGTATCTAGATCACAGAGCCACTGTTATCTGCCTTACAACAGCTGATTTTTAAGTATTTGTAGACTACCATAAAAGAGCAAAGGTTTTTAAAGGATATCTCAACAGACAATGAATCCTAAAATCATTTCCTAGATAACAGAAAAAATACAAAATCCAAGGGGAAAATGAAAATGATAAAAAGAGAAAGTACCAGAGACTATTTCAAAAAAATAGGAAGGAAAGGACTTTTTGCATTCAGGGCTACAATGTTCACCTGCAGCCCTTTCAATAAATGACGCCTGAATCACTATTGCTTCAGATCATTGTGTCAACAAAATTCTAATTCCATCTAGAGAATCTCTCTTTCGTCTAATAGAAATTGCCTGTCATGAATGTATCCTGAAGGCACCAGATATAATTAATAAAAGCATTTTAGGTTTTCAGTTTCAGTTTTTTAATATGCCAGGAGTCCTATTAAATGAAAGCTGTGTGCAAACTTTGTATTGATTGACCAAAAAAAACCTTCAAGCATTTGTTTGAAATGTGTTTCTTTCACACATTAAACTTTTGAAAAATACACTTATGCCGCTGCTCAACAGTTTTTAATCAATACCTAGACTTTCTGACTCTTCAATCAGAAATTACCTTCTGCATTATTAATTTAAAACTTTATTACTGGCTTAAGTTTGAAAAAGACATATCTAATAAAAGGCTACAAGACATATGCATTCAAAAGAAACAAACAGAAATGATACAACTGAGTGACTCTATCTGTGCAATTGTGCCTTGAAATTATTTGGATGCACTAAGAAGAAGAAGAGGGTGTGGCCAAGCTAAAATCAACAAACCATCAAATTTATGATCAAGAAAACCCATTAGAGGCCAGAGTAAAAACAGCAGTCTTCTTCTAAAATGATGGTTTGATATTTTTCAGACAATGATATTTTTCTGATAGTAAAAGGAAGCTAAAATCACAACACAACCACAGGAAAAATAAAAAACCTGGCACACATTATTTTCATTTAGACTAAAAGGATTTTTTTTTTGTTTAGTTGAAACAGCCTTCGTTTGTCATCCAGTGCAGTAAAGTAGATTCTAAAATCAGCAAATGTTATATTTAGACATCCGTTATGCAAATCACCACACTCACCCACGTCAACATCAGACATTTTTGTCTAAAAATTTGCAGAAATTACTAACACAATTTATCACAATTAAATAGCTCTGATAGTAGAACTACTACAAAAAGGGAAACAAATGGAATTTCAAATGGAACAACAAACATCTTTTATAAGAGGAGATGAAGCTCACCCCTCACAGGAAGCCAAAACAAAATTTTTTCCCCATTAGAATCTAGAGTGTTTTATTGCATAAATATAGGCATATTTCCCTCAATCCACAACAGTTTGTTAGCATTACTGTTCCAAATGTAACACTGACAAAATAAAAAGGACAAGCTTTAACTCTGAAGAGGAAATTTAAATGAAACAGTAGTGCATTGTATCAGACCCCTCTTTCAGTTTCATTTGGAACTCTTGAGTGGGAGGAATGAAACTGGTAATTCAACCAACAATAATACCACCTACAGAAGATAAACAATGGTTCTAAGACTTCCTCAAGCAAAAATAACAGTTCATGTTCATGCGCACCATTGTAGGTTTTTTTGCATTGTGAAATAAAAAAAAAAAAAAAAAAAAAAACAAGCCACAGTTGTATCAGACACTTCATGTAATTTTTAGACTGTTTGCCAACCTTATCCTTCAAAGTTGATCAAGTTGGCATTAAAGGTTACAGGTCATGATATAAATACTCATTTACTGACAGTTTGGCAAAATTATGGCATTAAATTTGAAATTGTGGCAGGAGATCTTGGGGAAGTTATCTCAAGGACTATCAAGGTTAAATACAAAATAAACAGTCATACCTTGACTGAAGACACAGGTAGATTCCTAAGGGGAAAAAAAAGAAGCCAGAGGCAATCAACAAAAATAACCTAAACAAAAATGGGCAAAGGGAAGCAAAGCTTTCCCAGCCTCCTGTCGACTAATTAATGATACACAAAACATGTGCAGGTGGGCTGAGAATTTTAAAAAACATCAACACAGGGAAAACTGTTCATACTTAACATAAAGAACCACACATATTTCTCTATGTTAACCATTTAACTCCCAGAAGTGATTAGCATGCAACTTCCTCCTAAACTATCCAAACATTATCCTGTAAATAGATAATGAGAATACTCAAACTTCTCAGATAAAAGATATTATCTCAATCTAACATGAAATTCTCATAACTTATTTCAAGGAAATGTGTAGCGGCAAAGGTGGAGACTTAACAATCAGATCTTGGGCATTAAAGGGTTAAGGAAAAATCAAAAACTTTTAACCCTTGGTCTGACTGATTAATAATGGTAATAGAAGTGAGTGGAGTCCACTTTGGTCTTTAATTATACGAGCGATTAACAAAATCGGATGTCTGCAAAGCAGGAGTCTGATTTATCAGTTACAAGTATGATTACGGACAGAATTGGACAATGTGAAGTTTTGTTATAATTAGGACAAACAATTAGGACAAACATTTAGGACAAACATCTTCAGAAAAATATCTCCAGACAAACATCTCCAGACAAACATCTCCAGACAAACATCTCTAGACAAACATCTCTGGACAAACATCTCCAGAAGAGACAGTGTCTAAAATAATTATGCCTCTATTTTGGAAATTTCCCAGCTTTTTTTAAGATCAGTAGTTGTTACTATGGTTATTGTGCTCAATTCAGTGATTGGTGGATTTGGCTGAGCGAACTTAGTATTACACTGTCAGATTACAACTGTACAGAATGATAAGAGAAAAATAAAGCAGCTGATACACCAATCACATTTGAGGAAATTGCAATGCTTGTGATTGATGGAATACAAAACAAAATCACTGACATCTTCTTCCTAATCTGTGAAGAATTCTCTCAAGTTACTTCTTCAATGTTTTCTTTGCAACTTGATGGAAAACTTAGTGGTGTAAAATGGATACATTTATCTGTGAATGTTCTTTAAAAGTGTTTTTCTTCATTCTTGCCACCACTGTTATGTTATGCCGTTTAAACCCCTAGAGTGGCAAGCATCTTATTCATTGTTACAACAATACAGCTGAATCATAAATGAAAATCTTGAGATTAAAGGAAATGATTCCCCATCTAAGAAGCATTGATTGTTAATTAAAAGTGAATTTTCCTTATCAGTACCAAAAAACTGTGTAGAGAACAGTATGAAGAATATCAATACTGATGTTAGGATGTAAAGGGTTAACACTTCAATCCTTGAGAGTGACTGGCATCTAATTTCTCCTTTCAATATCACCCCTGAATCAAACATTAAGGTCATGAGAATGAAGGAAACGATAGTCAACGTAAGACCCTCTGAATTGTTAAACAAATTCTCCTTGCCAGCATATTAGGAAATGTATAGAGAACAGTATGGAGAATATGCATACTGATGCTAGGATGTAAAGGGTTAATAATCTTGAGGCTTGCTGCCCTCTTACCTATCAGGCATGGAGAGTTTGATTTTTGGAGGTTTTCCCTTTAGGGCTGCACTCGACTTTTGGCTGTGACTTTTGTGGTGATCACTGTTCAGGTCCTCGGCAAGACTTTTCTCGTCCTTTATCCCTTTAACTTTGCTGACCAATTTATCCTTTTCTTTTTCAAAGTTTTGCTGAGATTTAACGTTGCCATTAACAACTGGCTTTATCTCAGTCCTTTTCATCTCAACTGATTTTGTTGGTGTACTGTCTTTGTGAGTTGGTGATTTTAACTGAGACAAACTCTTTTTTGATTCAGCTGTTCTTATAGCCGTGGCTTCCTTTACAGGTGTTAAAGTCTTCTTTGAACTATTTTGTTTCGATACAGCTGCTTCCTTAGGAGTTGGAGACTTTACATTTGAAGGAATTTTCCTTGCATCAGCTGTTTTAGGGGTGATAGCTTCATTACTACGAGTCGGAGATTTGGAAAGTGTTAGAGTTGAGTTCTTGGTGGGAGCAATTGTGTTATTAGACTTTACAAGAGGAGATTTAGTGGCCAAGTGTCCAGTGCCATTTATGACTCCATTGAGTTTGTGGTTCTTGGGAGACAATTTTGCATCTTTGCCTTTATGGCGATCAAAAACAAACTTCTGCCCTTCAACAGGTGTTGGTGGAAGTCTTGGAATTCCAATCAAATGATTGTGATGTTGAAGAACAGGTGCAATGGTGTCATAAGTTCCAAGTGTGGCCTGTTGGTAAAAAAAAAAAAAAAAACATACACCCTTTAAACTCCCAAAAGTGATTAACCTGTGAATTCTCCCAAATATTACCTTACAAAATTCAGTAAAAAGGTAATTGGAATACTCAGACTTATCAGGTAGAAGTTGTTATCTTGATCTAACATCAAATTCTTGTACCTCATTTAAAATGAAACATGTGTTACAGCTCAAGGGGAGAATTAACAACAGATCTTGGGAGTTAAGGAGTTAACCAAACACATCATTGCAAATATCACTAAACAAACACTCAGCTTGAAAATAAAATATAAAAATTTTTGTCACCTGGATTTTTTGCTGAAGGGCGTCCTGACCTGATGGCTGAACCTTCAAATAAATGAATTATACTTTCTTAGTTCCAAAAAGAGGCACATGATTAAGAGCAATCAAACACCTTTGAATCAAACTTCTAAAATGACATTTTCTTTCCACAAACTTTGCAACCACAGAAGGATCAAAAGCATATGAAAACAACAAGCAAGACAAAATACATTTTCCCCTAAAACACCACTCAGGCAAAAAACAGAGTTCAATTTACATAGCTTGAAGGAAATGAAGTGATGTTGGTTATCTACATCATGTATCCTCACATGATCATGAGTAAAAATTTTTCCATATCTGTTCTGGTTATAGTTCAGATTTAGGGACATGGGAAGATCTGTTTTATCCTATAAATAACAGTATGATTTCTGTTACAAATTATACAAGTTTTGCTGCAGTTGGCTTTGGATGGTTTCCTGCAGTCTTCAAGAAAGGGCTCTCACATGTACAAACATACATAGAATCTGGACGGGAATTAGGAAAGTGGGAAGTGGTGTGAATCAATTTATGAACAGAGTGACTCTACACAGGCCTTTATTAACATTCAGAAAGACAAAAAATCGATCAAAACAAAACAATTCACTCTACAGAACACACTCATTCATAAATTAATCACTGTTCTGCATACCTTCCTAGGTTCGGCAAATAAAGGGCGGTCACTAGTGTTCTGAAAAGGCAACGTAAACACAGTGTAATCACATAATGATTGTCATGGTAAATGTTGATTATGTTACCAATAAGTAACAAGTTATCCAGGGTTATTGAAAATCTTTACAGTGCTCTTTAAAAGTGCAAAGCTGGTTACAAAATTTCTGAGAACCTTGAGGAGTCAAAACAGATTCAAAATTACTATTTCTCCTAAAAATAAAAAAATTAATTTTTTTCATTCATTCATCTTAAAACCGCAATAATTTCAAAAGCTCCTCAGTATCTAATTGCATTATGCCACAAGTAAACCAACAGGAAAAAAAAAAAATGCACATCTTTCAACCAACATTCAGAACTAACCTCTGGTTAGCCCAGAGGAATGCAAAACAAGCAAAATAATATCTTCACTATCAGCTAGGGTATTTAGGGAGAGAGCTACCTGTATCTGTATCTGTATCTGTATCTTAAGCAACAATTTAATTTTACTGTAAGGAAGCAACTATCTTTCATAACTACACTGTATTCCATTTTAAAACTTCCAGAAAAAAATCCCTGTCTGATCCAATTAGGAGATTACGCAAGTTGACCCTATTTAGAGCGTTACAAGCCGGATGCCTTTTGTCATTTGAAAACAAAAACAAATCATTCTAAATTTAAACTACCATGCTACCAAATTAGAATAAGAGATTCACCATATATCAAATTCAAATAAGTTCACAAAAATATTTGCTACAAAAATCACCTGTTTGCTACTTTGCTAGCAAGATATCTAGTCATAATATACAATACTTCTGTAATCAATTCCTTGAAGAAGGAAAAAAATGAGCGAAGGGTCTAGATTCCATAGCTCATAAATTTAACCAAAATAAATTTAAACATTTGGCTAAATGTGACTATCCCTCCAGCAATTCTTATCATTTACAATGAAATCACTAAGTCTTAGTAAAGAGAGTATTTCCACAAAAATCAGACAGTATTGTCAAACGTGACCACTTGAACAAAGGAAAGAATATTCATAAGAACCACTTGCATAAAAAGAGTTTAAATCCTGCCCAGACATGAAATAATTTCCTTTGTTTCCTGACTATCCATCTTCCAAAAGTGCAACCTCGATGGATATGAAAGCTTCTGCTTTGTCAAACAGATTCTGATGTGGCTAAATCTGACTATCATGCTTACAAACTTATTGAGAAGAATCTCAAAATAACAGCTAAAGTCCATTAACCTATATACAGACTTCGCAAATATCTTTACATCGTGACCATAACTGACATATTTATATGAAGTAGCTGGACCAGTCGACTAGCACTGTTTCTAGATTGTTCCTAATAAATTTCTTCAAAATGTTTGGACACAGCAAAAAAAACCTCACTTACCGAAGCTGACCTCCGTAATTTAGCCCTTTCTCTTTGTGCCTCTTTCCTCTCTCTCTCATGAATAGCTAACCTGGGAACAGATACACAGGTTTAGTCAAATTTAGATCCATTAGTGACAGGTAACATGAAAAAAGTGTGGAACAATCTTCACTTTAAAAGGAATGACAAACCCTCCAAGAACAACTGGTGTGTATTGCAGTATTTTTTTTTGGGAATAATCTCTAAAAAAATCACAACATTACAATAGGATTGGCAAAGAGTTACAAAATTTATCATATTCAGAAGTGTCAAATTTCAACTGCAATTCAAATTACTATTTTTGAGCAGAAAGGTACTGTTTAAAATAAGGGCAATCAATTTGAAGGATGTCCAAAAATAATTTGTAATACCGGTACCTCAAGTTCACTAGAAATTGCACCAGTCTTTTGAGAATCTTCAATCACACTGACACACTGACACAAATACAAACTAACAAACAACTGCATCCCACTGCTTTAATGTCTTTAACCCTTTCATTCCCAAGATCTGATTGCTAATTCTCCCCTCTAGCTGCTACACATTTCATTATAACCTGGTTACGAGAATTTGTTGTTATATCAAGACAACAAACTCTACCTGATAAGTTTGTGTATTCTCATTATCTTTTTGCTGGAGAAGGTATAGATATTATGGGGAGAAATTACATGTTAATCATTTCTGAAAGTTTAGGGGTTAAGACTACTTTTTAATGAAAATCCTGAGTTTAAATGGATGAATAAGTTCATTACTTTAGTTACTAGCTTACTAAATGATCCTGTATCAAACTAGTAGATTTAAGATAAATCATTATGAGGAATAAAGTGATAAGAAAGTAGATACTTTTCCTGCTTTCAGAAGGGTGGTGCAACAACCAAATTCTTCAAAGATAGGTACAGCCTAGCAAGATTTCAGCTAAAAAAGTGAAGCACAGCTCAAGGTCTAAATAAAAAATGGCTTAAACCATTGAAATTTTGCTGGACAATTCTTCCATGTTTGATGTCTCAATCTAAAGATCAGGAACACTTTAAAACATAAGATTTTAGAAATTAACATCTTATAATCCAAAAAGGCTTCATTTTTGCACCTAGTAGATCTCCAAGCCAAAATAGTACAAAGTAAAGTATTTGTTATTGTTCAGCATAGACGGAATTCTGCACAAGATTGTGCAATAATCTGATTTCCAACAAAAGCAAATTACACCACAAACAGATAATTAAAACAGAAGATCAAAAAGCTAAATCAGAATCTTGTTTAGCAGCAATTACTGTCTCTATTTTGGTGTCAAATATTCCCAATTGGTCAAGTTTTGGCCACTTTACTGGCACAATCAAAAGGCAACTTCTATTAAAAAAAAAAAAACAACTTCATTTAATGACAGATGAAAGACATTTAAAATATTACCTAAAGACCAATGCAAAGAGACACAATGGTTCATTCCATGAACTTATTAACATTTTGCAACAATTCAAAATATTTTTTTGATTACACTAATACTTTAGTCATAATATTATTAACAACTGTGCTAGCAACACATGGAGGACGGCATGACAACTGGTTTTTAAGACATAAGTGCACCTCACACAATATTGTTTGACATCCTAAAAAAAAGGCAACACAGATATTCACATGAAGACAACCATCTGTGCACAATTTCTTTACAGCCAACTGATACTCTCCTCAATAAATCTTGAGGATGCTACAGGCTTGAAGGAAAAATTCTGAAACAACATTATTCTTGAAGTGTGCATGTCATTTATAAATGTGTTTGGTAATAGAAAGGCAATAAAACAGTTAAGGACCAACTACAGAGGACTAAACCTTACAAAGATGGTCAGAGTTGTTTTTGTAACAATGAGGACAATTCCCTTTACACAGATTTAGAAACCTTGGATGATTCCTTGTAAGGGTTTGGACAAACTATTAAGAGGTTTAAATAAAACTAAGTAAAACACAACCATACATGGTTGGGAACAGGAAAGAATAACAAATGACAGACACTTAACTACATTTTTAAGAGAAAGAAATGTACATAACAGCTTCTTTCAATCAAAAACAATTGTTTGGAAACAGATCAGAGCAAGTGGGTGTTTCCAAATAAACTTTTAACTCCTATCAAAATGTTACAGCAAACCAACGGCTATAGCAGCGGAAGAAGTGATCATCTTCTGACCTTACAAGGTGCATTTCGTTCGATAACTAACGTCCCCCGAGGCGGTGGTAAATATATTGAATAATATTACCACCTTGAAACTAGTAAAAAAAGCTAAGCGAAGCGAATATGAAGATGATAGAAGTGAATGTTTGGACAAGCTTTATAAGGCAAACTACCCGCAACACAGCGCTACTACTTGCTGGCAAATAATCAATGAAACGCAACAATCATTTGTGGAAAGATGCAACGCAAGTCCTGTTGTTTACTTAAAATCGGTGTTAACAAAACAAAGAGCCGTGTTAAGTTATGCTCCAACATGACATGATCCGAACCTCTCGGTTGCCCTAACATATGATTCAGCAATAAAACTAGCATTGCCAGTGTAAGGCACGCGTCCGTCTGACCTGGAAATCCTGTATTAGAAGCCTAAACATCAAGGTCTTTCAATATATAGTACTCTTACACTGCACGATGGAACACATTTCATCTTGGCAGGTATGATACAGATGTTGATTTTCAAGTAACGCTGACTTCTGATTAAGTGCGGTTTCAGTATATTTTCAGAAAGATAAGATTCCATACCCAAACTCGGGAAGTTTAGAATAATTGATTATGAATCGATTGTAGCTAGTAATAAGCCGTACATTTCCTACCACCGCATGCAATAAATAAAGTGAACGAACCATAGCAAACGTTCACACACGTTGATCTAGGAGCCGTTTCCAAAATTTCGTACATACCTAAATATCGACAATAGATCCCAAGAACACTTTAGTGGGAAGTCTGAAGTCTTGTAACTCGAATACCACGCCATCTGTCGCCAGTCTTTTTTTTTAAAGACGAATTATACAAAAAAAAAAACGCCAAAAAAGCGAACCCTTTGAACAGTAGAAGAATTCTTAGAAAAGGGGATTGATCTATTTTTGACCTTTTTCTAATATAATCGAGAATATGAAGCATAAGATCACTGAAAAAAGACCTAGGATTTGCTTAGTTATATGCAGTCATCGAATAAAATGGAAAAACGATTTACAATGAGCAAAATGATCGAATGTACCTGGTTTATTTATCACGGACGTGCGAATAGACTAGAATCAATTCCTACGGCAAAATCGTTATTACCTCAATAAAGTAATAAAGAAAAGGGAACAGTCCGAAAAAAAACATATTAAACTAGACTTGGCTTCGTGTAATGCTTAAAAAAATTACCAGGTAAACTCTTGGAAATTCATCAATAACCAGAAAATCTCCTGTCCCCATCTATGTAACCTTGCGATATGAAATTACAGACGATGAAATGAACTCCCGAAGGAAAATGTCTCGAATTGATATTAGGCCTAAAGAATATAAATTGCTTCAAATCGCGAGCGAAAATGCCACAAACAAAAGACTTTAACCCTTTAAATCGTGAGCAATACCGCGATCGGTACTCATTGTTTAGAATAGAACATATCAGTTTAACGACTTACGAGAATAATTTCCAAAGACGTGACGTTCCAAATGTCGAGAATTACGACAATGCCTTGGCATAATTCGAAACCGTAAAATGACGCCGTGATCTTGGGACAATTAAAAAACAAAAACGCGGTCGTAGATCGGCCTGTTACTCTTACTTATTGTACAAAACGTTGCGATAATTATGTGCCAGAAGAAACTTAGAAGAAGTAGTAATAAAGTACGGAAGCTTGCTCGATCCTTTTGCATAAACTCTATGGGGGCGGCAAAATGAACACGGAATGGAACTCAACCTTTGTATAGACAGATCACCAAAACTTTTATCTTTCTTCGGTCATATTGTAAAACTGAGATTTCTTAGACTACAAATGTTGTTTTCCAGACAAAATCATGATGAGGTTCTGCCACAACATCGTCAACAAACTAGAGTCTTTTCGATGCGCCATCTTGATGAACATCTACTTGCTACCACATAACGAAATAAAAGCTCAAATCCCTCTGAGGAACTTACCCAGACGACATTCCCCTAGAATGAAGACCAGTGCTTCTCAGATCAGTCTCAAGTCGACTCATAACACGAAAAATCTCCGTAGAATATAGGAAAAGGCAGGAACTGTAGTGCCCAATATATTAGGAGATTTCGCCACTCTCCGAAAGAACATCAACAATTGAGTTGTCGAAAGGCGAAGATTAACCAGACGCGAAGAACCAGCACTTATGCGGTGAAGGGAAGAGGTGACTCCTCACACAATTCGAGAGGAAGTTAGCGTATTTTGAAGCCTCGCTTTTCTAACCCTACATATTCGATTCCCCACTAAACAAAAACTAACCAGTTTAGGATCCGCTAAGAATCCGGAGGTTTCGGGCAGCTGTGTGACGCACAATTTACACCCCACGTGACGCATATGGCTTTCTCATTGGTCAAGCACCTGCCATTCAACCAGCCAAAGGAGACACAACCGGAAATGGGGCTTCCCTGCTTCCCTCATTCGACGCGAAAGGTACACAGGACCGGATATCCCAAAAACTCAATTTTCGCGGATTTCGCGTGAGAGTTCGCGAGACAAAGGAAAATCACAAAACCTATTTATAACTGAGTGACTGAGCGCTTGGAGTGAAGCTTGCCAATCCGTGTTTAATGGCGCGACTCAAATCTACAATCAACATCTAATTTCGCTAATTGTGCTGACGACGACAGAAATTTATCATTGTTTGATGAATGGCTCGTTAACTTTAATTCGGGGAAAAAAAATAATGTAAACAGCAAACTTATTTGTCATGTCGTCGTCACAGCACACTTAACTCACACCCACTTGTGTGAGCATATAGGAATAACTTCCTCAGTAGATTTCTACGATAATGTTGTAATAAAAATTACTTTACATCAGAACAGAGACAATATTGTGGCCTGATTAATTGTTAAAATATGAATGTGATGATAACACGAGAGATTTAACTTGAAGTACTGTAGATAATGACTTGGATATAGACTGATCTGCTACTGATGCTTATACGAAAAAAGTGTGTCGTGACTCAGTTATTATATACTAAGTACAGGATAGTAGATTTATAAAGAGTCTTAACGTAAGAAAATTGTGATGACATGAAAATTGTTATGATAAAGAATGATCGAATCAGTTTGAGTGGAAAACAGTGGTTCTGTTTTAAACCAAGGTGGATCGAAGGCTATTTTAATTGATAAAAACGTATTGGAAATTTGATTTGCTGTCAGGCTCAGAGACTGAAACAAACCACAATTGTTGACTAGATTCTTCCTCACTCTCTCGCCCACCCTCTCTATCTAACTTCCTCTTCCACTAATTAAGTCAATTTGTAATTTTTCTTGGAATATGGGTCTGAATGTTCCATAAAGTTTGTCCAGGATTGAAATATGATTGTAATTCAAGTCCACAAAGTAAATTTTCAAATCGGGCCGTGATTTTTCAAGTTTGTGGATTATCTCCCTTACAACCTTTTCCTTTCCTCAATCTGGATGGTTCTTTCACATTGATTTGTTATGACTTCCTATGATAATAATTTAAGATTGCTTCTTTTTTCGGAAAATAATAATTCTAGGATTATTATCGAAGTATCGACGCATACTGACACAATTGTTAACAATAGCGATATACTGTCAAAACAGCAAATATTCATTGAGTTATGGAAACCATTCGTTAACCTGCGATCAAGCGAAAAAAGAACACCTGATCGCAGGTTAACTATTGGTCAGGTTCGTCGACCGAAGTGTTGCCTTGGCTTTGCGGACCGGATGGACCCCAAACCTTAGTCTCGTTAATGATATGAAACAGTAAATACATCCGTTGTTTTGATTGTGCGTTTATCTGCCATCAGCTGTTTATAGTCTGGCGCAAGCTTTACAAAAGTCATCAAGAGTGGTTAAGTTCAATTCTCGAAAAAAATAAAAACAAATATCAAACACTCCTGATCTCAATTATTCAATATTCCCACTTCAATAAAAAAGGTTGACCGAAATACTACCGTGTTAACGCGCTTGTAGGGGTCAAATAGACACAGTCGGCTGAATCAGTCATTCCTTGCCGTCTTTTTCAGGATTATTCTCTCTGTGTGAGGGCCAAGATTGACTGAGGAACCTAGTAAAAAGGAACAGCTGAGCTGATTTCACTCCATAACTGAACAGAGAAGAAAGAGGTGAAACTGGACAAATTGTGCGGTAAATCGAAGGGGGCAAACAGCCATGTTGTTACCCTCATGGATGATTAAGGCTTTTATTCGATGTCTATTATTTTCGGAGGTTCCAGTTCATTTGTTTTAAAAACTACAAAGCTGTGAAGAAACCTCTGAGTATTTACTCAATCGACGAATGCCTGCTCCAGTTTTTTTGCTTGTCTTGTATTAAAAAGCGTCAATATCTCTCGCGAAAACCATTTTCCGCTTCAGCTCAGCTCAACGGGACAAAAATGCAGAACTATTTCATTGTTCGATTGAAAGTAGGTCTACGTGATCGAAGGAAAACTACATATCTACATACTCACCTGTAAAAAAAATTGGACGACTCTTGACTTGCTTATGAACTGCTGGAAAAATTTATATGCATAGGTACGTGTTTGAATCTTCACTTTGAGGTACGTGCCGTAGATGTCTTGAACGAGGTCCAAACTCAAACCACATAGAAATCTGATATTTCAATAACATACTCTAGTGTTTGTCTGCATTCTAATTTGCATTACAAAACGATGGCTGTGTAACCTTTGACTTCAAATCCTGCTAACGGCTGCTAGTTAAATTAAGAGATTTTCAAGCCCACCAAAAGTAATAATATTCGTTTCCCGAATACATCCGGATCTCATTCACGTTTTGTGAAAGGCCATCACTGGCTCACGCTCAGAGAAGACCAACTAAGGACTGGTTTTTCCATCTGACCCGTGGACGTTTGGTTAATTTTTTCAAGTCACGTTTGAATATAAGTGGTCGATAAAGGATGAAAGACTACTGGAATTTTATTTCTTTTAATGAGATGCTTGTCGCTAGTATTACCATAATCTACAGACACAGCATGGAGCATTATTAAGGCACGTCCTGCTCTTAAATTCTCATCCTTCTTTAAGGCATCTAGGAAGTTGTCACAGTTTGTTGCGGTTTGGGGTTTTTTCTGTCTAAATTAGCGGAAACAGAGTTCTTGACGACAGTCCAATATGGCATATATTGTACCAAATCCCTATGTTAAAAAATCGATGTTACTATGTTACATTCGACATTATATTGCCTGTGTAACAGAGAATGAGTTCCAATTAGCTACGATATTCAACCGCTGTTCAAGAAAGGAGCCCACGAACTTCCAGAAATTATTAAGACCTGCAGCATAGCTCTGCAGTATTGCAATGAGTGGCTAATGCCAGTGCCCAGCCAGTCATTTGACGGGCCGAAAAACAGGTGAATGTCTTTTAAAGTGTTTGTTTTTTTCTATTGGTATGCAAGTTTTTTTGTTTGTTGCCGTGGGTTTTGTTGTTGTTTTATGGGTAGCCAGTTGAAGTCAGCTCAAAATCTTCGATCACCATCGCAACTGAATTGCATAGATATAAATAAAGGTATTTGAAATTAATTAAGAAAATCCCAGATCGAGTTAGTTTGGGAATGATAACCCTTTAACCCCTAAGATCCAAATGTTAATTCTCCGCGATGTTTTTCATACATTTTTCGTAATATGAGCTTTGAGAATTTGGTTTTAAATCAAGACAGCATCTTTCAAATGAATTTTTTTTAATTTCTTAAGACCTTTCTGCTTGGTATTGTACTGGTATCGTATGGAGAAATGTTTGTTTGGACTCTCCCGGAAGTGCATGAAAATGTAAATCTTTCAAATAAGCGTAGGTCATGATCGTTCCAACTAGAATGAATCGTTGGGTTGTTATAGTATTTAATAACTTCTGGTCATAACATATCTACAGGAATTATCGATAGTGTGCGTTTGTTCAAGAGACACATTTTTATCATGGACAGACCAACCCAATGATTCGAGGTCATGTGATGCGAGAATAATGTACCGATTCTACCATTTTAATCAGGGAGGGGCTTTTCTCCGAATCCCTTTTCGGCCTATGGCGGTTCACTTCCCGTGTTCCTATGTTTTCAAACGCATCTAAGTTTAAGCGTTTCATGGCAGTTCGTATGTGTCAGTGATGTGTTCGTATGTGTCCCCTGATGAAGGCACTAGACAGGAGTGTCGAAACGTTGGGTCTATGAATCGTAACTTCTTCGGTTACATTCATTAAATCTGCAAACCAGAGTAGCGTCAAACTATGTCTGTGTGTCGGTGAAAATTGAACAGAGACACCTTCTCTCGCTGAAGCCTGAACTGTAAAGGAAAGGAAATTTGAGACGACGAGAAGTCGCAACCGATGTGTAATGAAATAACCAATTTATATCCGAAGAAGACCATTGTAATTAAGAATCATCTTCAAAGTCATAACATATCGTCAAAAAGGAAATTAAATTCTGTTGATTTTAAATATGCAAGTCTTGCAAGTCGCGGGGGTAGATATCTCTAGGAAATATCTGATAGATGTTGATTCTGAAACTTTTCCCTTCGTCCGATCAAAATGAGTGTTTTCCCCCCACCTAAACCAAATTTCCATTTCTTCGTCCGTCCAGTTATTTCCCTTATTGATAATTGAACTGCACGTTTCAAAAAAAAAAAATGAAAGCAAAAATGAAACCATGGATTTGATCAGGCATGAATCAGTCATCAGGTTTAAACTACAGTTTCAGATGACTTCAGTCAACAAAAGACTGAAATTTTTTAAATCGGTGGGATGATCATATCTTCCGCTATAAACCTAAAACCTTAGACCAAGAACGATAAAAAAGAGGAGACTTTAGTTTGTGCGCTTTGCTAAGGGTCTCAATGGAGTGATGGCTTTTACGGCTAACGGTTAATATCTCTCCAATACGGCAACGGAAATATTTTGACAGTTAATTTTTTTGACTACTAAGGGTTAAAATTTGTCATTTTTACTCTTAACGGCTTATTTTTTTTTTTTTTAGCCGCTTTACGGCTAATGGTTAGCCCTAGCGCGACCGGTGACCTTCCGTAA